ARCCCTCATGACCCTTGTGGCAGAGCTGCTGCTGTCTTTTCTTCCATGGYCTGTTTGGGATTTTTTACCTCCTGATGACTTACAGTCCTGCAAATCATCTCTCAGCCCTTTTTCCAGTCTGCCAGGAGCATGTCAAATTCCCATCCTGGCCTCTAAAGTGCTGGGGTATCACGTGCAGATTTTGAAACATACTTTGTTCTGTCATTTAGGTCATTCATGGCAAAGCAGAGCAGCAGCAGCAGCAGGGCAGACCTTTCTGAAACCCTACATGTTCCTTTCAGTGTAACTGTGAGCCATCTATCACTGTTCACCAGCTCTGTGATGGACCTGGGAACTGCCCCTACAGTGCTGTGGGACCAGGAAACATCTGCCTGTGGCATGGATGGGTACCCTGGGTGAGACCTGCAGGCACAGGGATGATCATGATACAGGGGCACAAGCACATCAGCCCAATTGTGCTGCAGCATCTGTGCTCCCCAGGGTTTCCTGTGGGGTTCCTGCTGTGTTGTAGGGTGGGATGGGGCTGAGTGAGAGCTGGGGTCACTGTCCAGCAGAGGAGAGGAGATGCCAGGAGGGGCGAGGGTCTGGCAGGTGCTGCTGCCTGAGAGCTGAGCACCAGCCTGAGCTCCTGGAGCCAGTGGAGAGGTTTGGAGCTCACCTGGAGAACAGAAGGCAGAGGTTTCTTGTGCTGCTGGCTGGTGTTTGATTGTTCTGGGGTGCCTGGGCTGGCCCTCAGCAAAATACAATGGGGTCAAGTGGTGAGCAGAGCTGCACCAGGCACCGTGGCTGGAGGGTGCAGTGGGACATCCTGTCAGCTTGCTGCTGGAAGGAGATCATCCATCCGTGCCAGCTGGGTGCTTCGAGGTCTCCATCTGTCCTGGCTCTGAACCTCGTGGGACACAGAGCCACAGCATCATTGTGATGAGCTCGGGGYTGGTGCTCCAGGGCAGGAGGCTGGGCCCCGACGAAGGGCCCATTCCAACATGAGAGCAGGCTGGCTGCTCGCATCTCCTCGGCCGCCTGCCAGAGGAGGTGTGGATCCGGCTCGTCTGGCTGGTGTTGAGATGCCTGAATATGCATCTGTGAGAGAGGCTTCCAGAGGATCCCACCCGCCCAGGTTTCCATGGAGAGCGTCTCTTTGTTGAGGAGGAAGCCGTCTGGCAGACAGCGTGGCCGTGGAAATACCTATAGAGCATTTGTTTTCCAAAGCACATGAATAACATCCCCAACAGCTAGCAGCCTCACTTCCTCTGCTCACCCACCAGCGGCCTGGCAGAGCGACCTGGGATGCCTGCGGTGTCTTTATCCTCCCAGTTTCTCAGTGCCTGTCTGAGCAGCCCCAGTTTGGCTGTGTGTGCCCAGCCCAGCCCGGTTTCATTGCTCGTTGGCAGGCACAGCTCCTGGCRCGGGGCTGCAGGCAGGCACCGGCCCATCTTCGCTGGGGGACACGTTTGGCATCCCTGCTGGAGCCAAGAGTGAGAGCGCTGTAGGCGGCAAAACTGGGAAAGTTTTGCTGCCACCTCCCATGGGCTGTGAAGGGAATTGCTTCCCTGAACGAAATGTCCTTTCTCGGGTCTCTCAGTTGTTTTGCACGCTTTGGAAGWCCAAGGAGAAGCTTAAGAGCTGTTGAGGCGGCAGGCAGCAAGGCAAGGCACATGCAGCAATCCACAGTGAAAGGGATTAAGCYTGGGTTTTTATGGCAGTCTGTCAGCATTAAATTAAGGCTAAATTCCCATCCTAAATGTTATGTTAACATGAAGTTACACCAGAAAGCACAGAGCACAGAACAGCAATATGAGGGTATAAGATGTGTTACAGGGGCATTGTAATTATCCCAAATYGGGCATTTGAAACCCAGGGAATTTCAGATATAGGGTTTGCATCGTTTTCTGGGTTTGTAATTGAAAAGAATCTGAACATAGGAAGGCTTAGAAGCATGTCACTGAGCTTGTTTGGGTGCCTTTATTCTGTGCTGCGGGGACATGGGCAGATGGAGGCAAAGAGTCTTTAAAAAATGATGGAACCAAATGTGGAATTACAAATATTAAAATACCGTGAGCTGTGTTTGAGTGTTAAGGCATTGTGGCTCTCCAGGGTAACATTAGGGCTGYTGGGCCTTCACTGTGCATCTCCATATCTGGACATATTTGGCTATCACTAACACAACCCACCTCTGTGCCTTGTGATTTGTAAAACTCCTAATTGGAGGCAGTTTTAAGTCCTGTAGCATCATTTGGTTTAAGTTAAGAATGTGTACTTATTTCTATCTTAGCTTATGTCTTTTCATCTTCAGATTTCTGGGTTTTTTCAGAGCTGGATAAGGATTAAGCAAAAACCCAAAGGAATATCATCATACCATAACTCTGAGGAGCTGTAGCAAGAGGCTGTGTTTTGTAGGAAGAGATTCCTCATTGTGTCAGGACAGGATGGTTGCAGTGGGCGTGCGGAAGCTCCGTGGATGCAAAGTGGGCTGTGAATTCAGCCCCGTGACTGGTGTGTGCAGCCCAGCTGGGCAGCTGTGCCATGGCACTGCCTGGTGCCGGGGGATTGCTCGCCTGGAGGAGCTGGTGGAGCAGCAGTGCCCATGGCAGTGTGTGGCTGCAGCCATCAGGAAGCTCTGGAGCTGGGAAATCAGCTGGTGAACCACCACTGGCAGGGCTGTGGTGTTCCTGCAGAMAGAAAATGATGACGGATCAGTTGAAATGGCTCTGCAGGGAGCACTGTGTGCACTATCATAAAGGCTGGAAGCTGCCTGTAGCTTCCAGTCATACAAATTAGATATGACAGTCATTAATAATTAGCTTTATCCCAACCTGCGGTACCTGAAGGAACCTGAGCAGAWGATTTGCACTGAGCACTTTGCCTTGCAGCAATGCCAGGCAGAGCGGTGGGTCTGAAGCACCTTTGAGATCCTGCTGGGGAATACAGCTCTGGGGGTCCCGGGCCAGCACTGCACCCCTGGGATGTCACTGTTAGGCAAAGGTCAGCTCTCTGCTGAAGGAGGAGCATTGCGGCAGGGAGTGTGAGATGAGTGATGGTTTTCTTCCAGARCTGCAGGCAGAACAGGGCAGCCAAGGCACTGTGCTGCAGAGGCAGCGCCAGTGTGGTGGGCAGAGCTGAGCTTGGGGTCTCTGGGTGCCTCAGCTGTTTTTCTGGTCCTTGACACAGTTTTATATCCTGTGTTTGGGGGATAACGCAGCAGTGTCATGCTCCTGCTGGGTGTGTTTCTGTCACTGCCTGGTGGGGCAGGAGGAGGTGAAGGGGAGTGATGTACAGAGGTGCCCTGCCCTCCTTGTCTGGCATTACCTGCCACAGGTTCCCTTGKCACACTCTGGAGAGGTGCCTGCATGCCCAGCCCTGCGAGGCCTTGCTGCTTGGGTGGGCTGAATCCAGTAACATGATTTTCTGGGATGAGTGTTTCTATTTACTGTGTTACCCTGATTCCTGAGCCTGCCAAGTTCTCTGGGCATATCAGGAGGGCAGGCACAGCATGGGCCCATTTCCTTAATGACCAGCAGCGAGTTGCCTGCACATGTGCAGTACAGATTTGAGACACCTTCTGTGGGTTTTTTTGGTTGTGTTTTGTTTGGATGGGGTTTTGGGGGGTTTCTGTTTGTCTATCTGGGAGGGTTTGGGGTATTTTTTCGGTGGTCGTGTTTTTTTTTCCTGCGGATTTTCCTCATTGGATGAGGTGTTCTCTCTCTATTTGTGGAATCCCTGCCCAACTGAACCTCCACCAGAGCTGCAAACTCCCATCTGCATACAGCCCTTATTTTGTGCTCCAATAATTTCAAGGCAACTCTGCTCCCCTCTGAGCTCGGGAGAGATATACCGGGTGGGCATGCAAGGATGCCCTGGGGCAGCACGGAGGTGCCTCACCACCGCTGCCGTCTCTCCAGGGTGAGGACATGTGGCTGAGACAGGACGAGCGAGCATCCTCTGAGCCACCACCGCCTTTTAGCGGGGACCCTGCCGCAGCTCCTCCTGCCGGGAGCGGAGCTGCCGATGCGGCGCTTTCCCGGCCGGGATGAGGGGAGCACCGGGCGGACTGAGCTCCCCGTGCCCGGGTCCCCCGGGAGCAGCGGTGCTGGCGGGGGGAGCCGAGGCGGGGGGCACTTACATAAGCCCTAAAATGCGACAGGCGGCGCGGGAAGGTGAAGGGCAGAGCGCTGAGGATCCACACAGCCTCCAGCGAGGGCTCCCTGGCACAGGAGCTCCGCTCCGCTCGCTGACACACATCCGCGGGTCCCCATCTGCAGCGCCCTCCCTTCCCCGCGGCCCCACGGGGGATGCCGCAGCTGCTCCTCCTGGTGCTGCCAGCCCGGGAGGACACGGGGCAGCGCAGCTCTGCCTCCCCGGGCTCGGCGGGGCACGGAGCGGGTGGGACGGAGGGCAGATGCCCGCAAACAGCTCTGGCTGTTCCCATCCTGCCCGCACAGCGCCCGGGTCCCGCCTGGGGTCTCGCTGCTTTGGYCGGTGCAGGGGGAAAGCTGATGGGAACTGTGTTGGTGGGCGAGATGGGTGCCTGGCTAGGACATGTGGGGACAGTTTGGTGTGTGAGGTGGGGTGGTGGCACCCAAACAGGGGAGCAGGGCTGGGGTGAAGCCCAGGCAAGGAGCACAGGCTGAATGGTGTGGGAATACAGGTGGCTCCAGCTCAGCCAGGAGAGGAGAGGAGCCARTGGGGTCTTGTGCAGGGGCTGTGCTTGGCACCAGTGGTGTCCAACAGGCTCCTGATGAGGAGGGAATAGCCCTGTCTGCTTCTCTTGGCACCCATAATCTAATGAGCCTCTGAGCGCTGGGGACAGGCTCTGCAGGCACAGAGGGGCTGTGCATCTGCACATCTTGCTCTGCTTGTGCTGACCGCTTTTGCCTGCTCCCAGAGCCACCTGCCCGGGCRGTGGCAGAGCCAACGAGCACCCATGGGTGGGAGGTTCAGCCAGGGGTCCTGGCTCCTTTTGCACTGCAGGTCTTCAGCTCTTCCCATAGCAAGTCTGCTGTTAATTCCCTCCATCTCTCCACAGCATCAGCAGTCACCTCCGGGCTGGGCCGCTGGCAGGCAGGCAGCAGCAGGCAGCTGGGAGGCTGTGAGGAGCCCCTGCCACATCTCCCCACATCCGTGCTCCCGACTGAGTCCACAGAAGGTGTGCCTGGGCTGTGCTCTCCTGGCTCCTGTCTCTTCTGCTCCATCTGTTCCTGGTGGGCAAACYGGAGGCTTTGGTGTGATGGGGTTGCTCTGAGACCTCGCCCCAGGAGCTTCAGGCCTGGATGTTGGTGCTGTTTCTCCCGGACAATGTGGCTGATACTCTGGAAAAGCCCTCTCTTCCCCCCTGTTCTCCAAGTGCCTGAGCTGGTGGCGGGCTGGGACGTGCATCTCACCCTCTGGGTCCTGAGCTTTGCCTCCATGGTTGTGCAGATGGAGGGCCAGGTCTACTCGCCCACTGTCAACACGCACTATGGGAAGTTGCGAGGGGTGCGCGTGCCGTTGCCCAGTGAGATCCTGGGGCCCGTGGACCAGTACCTGGGGGTTCCCTACGCCGCTCCCCCCGTCGGGGAGAAGAGATTCATGCCCCCCGAGCCACCGCCATCCTGGTCGGGCATCAGGAACGCTACCCACTTCTCACCAGTCTGCCCCCAGAACATCCACAACGCTGTTCCCGAGATCATGCTGCCCATCTGGTTTACCTCCAATTTGGATATCGTGGCCACGTACATCCAGGACCCCAACGAGGACTGTCTGTACCTCAACATCTACATCCCCACGGAGGATGGTGAGTCCCCACTGGGGTGACCGCAGGAGAGCGAGGGGGGGGTCACTCCACCCCTCCCCAGCAGTGGTTGGTCTCACTTGGGTGTTGTGTTTGAAGCATGTGGTTGTGGACCCTGCAGCATGCTGTCTGTTTGTGGAAAGCTTTCTCTGGCCACGCAGCTTGCCCTCTTGCCCTCAGCTGCCATCTCTGTCTCGCGTGCTCCCGCTCCTCCACGCCTCCTGGTCCCACCCCTCCACCTCCATGGCATCGTCACGGGTTCCTCTCTTGTATTGCTAAATCTGAATCCGACTCTCTGACCGCAGATCCACAGAGTGACAAGCTGATTTGTGCTCCCCACAGGCGCCGAGTGCCAGGTTCTGTCTTGAGTTGGTTCGAGTTCGTCCTTCCTCCCTGCTTCCCACCCTCCCCAGGTCCATGCGCTAGTTGTGGGCGTGGGCTGCGGCTGGGAGGAACACTCTCTGCCTCTCCCTGGGAAGATGCTCCGGCAAGAAAGGGACCGCAGAGCCCTTTTCTGGGCCCTGGTACGGATGGGAGGTCGGGGTGCACCGGCAGACACATCGCTTGGCTGCTCCTCCGTGCGCCGGTGGGACGGCGGCAGAGCGATGAGCCTGGGGTGCGGGGAAACCACGGGGCGCGGTCCCGTTGGGGTGAGGCTGAGCGGCGCCGGGTGCCTCCTCGTCTAACCTTTTCCTTTGTAGGGGATCCCACCTGAACTGTAAGTAGAGGGCRGAGGAGGCAGCGCCTGCCCGTGCCCGCCCCAGCCTCACCGCAGCGGGAGCCCCCAGGGATTTTCAGCGGGCCGGAAGGGTCCCGCAGCGGGGCTGCTGCGCGCAGCAGAGCAGCCTGGCGGGCCGGTGGCTTCTCCCAGGCTGGCTGGCTCCACTCCTCTGTCTCTGGGGCCCACGGAATGCATCATGCCTTCCTTCCCGCCCAGCACGGCCGGCCCAGAGTTTTCCTCCCATGGCGACGCTCCCTCCCCACCTCCCGCGGTCCCGGGGGCGGTGGGAGGGTAGCAGCGTGGTTGTGATTGCATGCCCACTCCCATCAGTGGAGCCTCCTGTTATTTTGTAGTCTTTTATTCATTTTACAGTAAAACGGATTTCCAAGGAATGCACCCGAAAGCCCAACAAGAAAATATGTAGGAAAGGAGGTATGTAGCAAGCCGACCGGCAGAGAGGCACAGAGAGGAAAGAGAGAGAGAGTGAGAGAGTGAGAGGGTGCCTGGCTGGCCCCTGGCCTGCAGCACTCCTCCRGCACCTCTCTGTGCTGCCGCCCGGACCGTGGGCCCTCCAAGCAGCCCACCGTGCCACCCCCGCTTCCCGCTGGAGGAGCCCCACGGACGCTCCGGCCAGCTGGGAGCACAGCTCTGGGGTCAGGTCGTGAGGATGCTCTTGTTGCTCCAGGCCTTTCAGAACAGCTTCTCCTGGGCTGAGCCTGCACTGTCACCTTCATCCCGCTGGCACTGGCAGTGTCCYGGTCCCTGGGTGTGAGGGGTAGCGTCTGATGGCAGGTGATGCACCTAAATGCATCCACCCCTTAGGTTGGGGTACCCTAWTGGGGGTGTACAGACCCGCTCAGGGAAGGACCTGTGTGATGGGGGACTGCAGTCCATCCTGGGCTCAGCTTTTCCCCCATTGCATCCCTGAGCACTTTGCCTCCAGAGCTCCTTGGTTAAAAGCATAAAGCCTCTCCTGGCTGTGTAAATGCTGCAGTTTCTGCCCTGACCTTTGTTCCTGCCAAGGCTGCTCCCCACTGCTCACACCCCCATGCCAGTGCCAGCCCTGCYGGCAAGGATTTGGTCTCCAGCCCATGGCACAGCAGCCTCTCCAAGCCCTAGCTGCCCCATGGACAGCTGAGCGCCTCCAGTTCAGACACATCTCTACTTTGCCTTACCTCCACTGACCTTCCCCCATTTCCCCTAAATGATCCTGTATTCCCAGCCAGAGACGTGGACAAGGGAGTAGAGATGTGCAAATGGGAGCTGTCTGTGCCCCGTGTCAGACACAAAGCTTCACCCATCCCTCCACACAGCCTCCTTGCAGGCAGGGAGAGCTGGCTGCTCTGTGCATCCCAAAGATGAMCGTGTGGACCGTCAGGCAGCCAAGCTCTTCTGAAAGGCTCAGTACAGGGTGCCTGGCCGGCACAGGCTGCTGTCCTGGGCATCCTGCAGCAGCAGGGTCCCTGYATCCCGGCCTCCCTGCACCCCTGGGTTTGGTGGGGCCAGTGCAGCTGGGCTTGGAGGTTTGGGGAGCGCTTTCCTTCCAGCCRTTTCCCCCAGTCCTGTTGTTTGGTTTCTTTGCTTTGCTTTTCCTGTTGCTGTCCTGGCTATTCACACGCCATCTCTCTGAGTGCCAAGGCTGCCCCTGAAAGGGCTGGCGCATTAGGGAGTCTCTGCACGCTGCCTCCGGAGCCGGCTGTGCCAGTGATCACCAGCCACTTCAAAGCGCTTCCTCTCCCGGCCCTCCCACCGGCTGCCAGGGCTGGCAGACCCCCGCCACCCCCAGCCCTGCAGCCAGGGCAGGGAAGCCGGCTCCAGGTTGCTGCTCAAGAGGGGGATGATTCAAGGCATGACAGAACACCTTGGGCATGCTCATCTCCTGGGCTGCCCTTCCCCCTGGCTCCGCTCACAGCCCGTCTGTGGTTTCTTTGCAGCCCGTCTGTGGTTTTCTCCGGTCACCTCCCGAGGAGCTGGGGACATTCCCTGTGCCCCCACCGGGCTCTGTTGGCTCAGCAGGTCCCCAGTGCCAGCCATTTGGACATCCAGGTGTGGCGTGCCAGGAATTAGAGCACCCAGACACTGGCACTTCCCTCCAGCTCTGGCCAGGCTCTGGTAGCTGTTGGCTCGAATTAATTGAGTCACTTGTGATGAAACACAGAAGCTCCCCTGCCCCTCATCGTGCATCCTGGGTTAGTAATGCTCAGRGAGAGGGTAATGAACCTGCAGTGCTGATTTCCTCAGGTTGAATATTTGAACATTGACTCATTCTGCAATAATCATGATTACTATTTCTAAGGCCACATATGAGCAGTGATAAGCTCTCCTCTCACAGAACAGTATTTTGGTGGTTGAAAACGCCTCAGCTCCCACYGTACTGGAGTTTTCATGACTTCTGCCACCCCTAAGATCAGTGTATTTCAGAGCAGACAAAGGGCTGAGAATTTATCAGTCGTGCTTGTTTATCTCTGGGACAGRAAAACATCCCTGTTTCCCTGCCCAGTTGCCCACAGTAATTTCCTATATGGAAATTTTCTAAATGCCAGTCTCCTCCATACACACTGGTCCCTTCTCAGGGAGCAATACAGGGCAGCAGTGCTGTGAGACCAACTAGCCGTGCGTGGTGCCAGGGGAGTTGAGAGCACTGAGGCTCAGCTRAGGCTCAGATTTTGCTGCAAAAATAGTGCTGCCCACCCAAAAACCATGTACACACATAGAGCACAGTACCTATGTGCAAAATGCAGCTCTGCCCCATGYTTTCTGCTGCCAACACTTCCAGCCTGTTTTTGGCTGTGGTAGACTCCAGGATGATTTTTCCTTCCCTTCACCAGCAGCCTGGGCAAGCCTTGCTGCAGGGCATGAGGAGGTGGATGTCATTTTTGGAGGGGAAAAATGTGGCTGCCCCGCACTTAGCAGATCTTCCCAGTTTTCATTAGYGAAAGCCCAAATCTCTCTGGCTGGGGCTGTGAAGATAATGCAGAGACAAATGTGCAGGTCCAGCATCTTCCTCTGCTGTGTGAGGGTGGCTGGAGCTCCCAGCAGCTCCCGGGCTCAGGATGCACTTGAGCAGCTCTGCAGGAAAAGCATCGTGGCTTCTCCGCTGCTCTCCAAGAAGCTGCCTTGTCCAAGTACCAGCTGAGGCTTCCCTCCAGCTGCACAGATTCTGCAGTGCTCCTTTGCTGGAAGCTTCTTCCCAGCCCCCTCGAAGCCTGCAGCTTTGCAGAGCTGGCTGTGGGCAGACCACCGCCCTGGTGCTCCGCTTCCACTCCGGGGAGCGATTTGCAAAGGTGAGGGTCGGTGTTTGTGCTGCTGGAGGCAGCAGAGCGTGAGAGGATGCAGTGCTTTTACAGAGTCCACTCAGGGATGGAGATAACTCCTCTGCATCATTCCAGGACAGGGAGGGGCAGAGCAGTGTGCTGCAGTCCTGGAGCAAGGGCTGATGGCTGGAAGGGCTCTTGGACACGGGTCCCAGCTGAACTGTCCCTGCCTGTGGGGTTGTGCAGCAGCAGGTTCAACAGCTGCAGTGGTCCTGGTCCTGTCCCTTGTCAGTCCCAGAGAAGCAGCTGAGGTGCTGTGGCCAGCAGCAGGTGCACCTTTGGGTGTGTGTAGCTGTCAGAGGCTCCTGCTCCCTGCAGCATCGTGGCTGCTCTGCAGGAGTGGGTGTCCCAGGGAGCTCACACTGGGGAGAAGGTGCTGGAGCTGCCCATGGGCACCCTGAGCAGGCATTTGGATCTGGAAAGGTGTCACCTCAGGCTCCTGCTCTTCTCTTATCCACACTGTGCTGAGAACGAAGGCTCCAAGGACTGAGGCTCCTTACCCTCCTTTATCTCTGTTTGCACTGGTGTCAGTGCTGTTGGCATGGTTTACTTAAGATAGCATAAATCCAGCATGGATGCCCCTGTTTCTGGGAAAGTGATATATTTTTTTTTTTACTAAACTTGAACTTAAATCTTCCTAGAGCCTTCAGATAAGAGCATATGCATCCTTCTATCGGCCTGAACAATGTCACTTTGCAGTCAGCTTAAAGTGAAGTGGCACCACAGACAGTGGGTTTGTGGAGAGTGGTTTTGATGGGTAAGGAGAATAAGAGCCATGAGCCCTTTTAGTTTTTCTAGCTGTGAATCCACAGGTTTAAACCTGGGGTGGTGGGTGCTGCAGGGCTCTGCGTGGTGGCCTTAGGGCAGAGGAAAAACTCCTGGGCTGGGTGTCCCTGAYCATGGCAATAGCCAGTGGAAAGTGTTACTGGGTGAGGGAAGTGAAGCTGTGATTGCTCTCATGAACCATGGGGCATTGGTGGGTTGTGCTGGAGGTCAGCAATGCAGCAAGAGGCACAAAGCCCACTTGGTCACAATGGTCTGTGCTGGCTGTAGCCTCCCTGACACCTTCCTGCTGATGGGTGAGGCTTTGCTTTGCATCTGCCACACTCACGTGCCCCTGCTGCTCCCCTTCCCCCTGGCCTGCATCACTGCACTCCTGCTTTGCTCAGCTTCCCAAGTGCTGCTTTCTGCCATCTCTTCTGCAGTGCCTGGAGCTCAGGTTGCTTTAGGCTTGTCCCAGCCATCCCTAAGCTCTGCAGCAGCAGTCTCCAGCTGGATGCCTCCCTGCTCAGCCAGGACATTTGGTCAGGTCACAGAGATCTCCACTGCCCTCTTTTATAACCTGATAAGTYCTCATAGCTGATTCCTCCATTCTCATCTGCACAGAGACTTCTGTCCCCTGAAGAACAGGCTGGAGGGCTGCAGCCTGGCCAGTCCCAGGGCTTTAACAGCACCAGGGCCTTTGGCAGTGGGAAATGATCTCCAGCTGCCTGTGGTCAGCTTCCCAACTCTGAAGCGCAGTGTGGATGAAGGCTCGCTGGCCGTGATCTTCATTAGGGAAAAATCCCTATTCCTTCGAAGTACCAAGAGGCTGGTGCATAGCACTGGCTAGCAAATATTGCATGAGCACTTTATCWTTTAAGTGCTTTCTGGGCTTGCAGCTCTTGGTAATGAAGACACAGCAGGTCAAGCTTGCAGCCTCTTGCAAAGAGGCTGAGTGGCGGCACACGCCCGGCTGGGGAGGGAGGGAGGGAAGGACACAGCAGGAAGCGGGGGATGCTGGGGCTGAGGTGCTGGGGCAAGAGATGACAGGGATGGGGGTGGTGCTGGGTGAAAAGAGGAGAATGATGCGAGATGCTCAGAGGATGGCTGGGTGGTGAAGCAGGAGGTGAGGAGGCGGGGGTAGGTCGAGAGGTAAACTCTGAGTTGGAGAAAATCAGGACAAGCACAGGAGAYGGCTGATCCATCCCTGCCCGGGGCAGGAGCTGCTCTACCTCACCTCTTTCTGGCAGTGTGTCCCACCTGGTCTGAAACACCTCCCCAAGCTGCCTCTTGGAGTGCTTTGCTGCCCTTTCTGCCAGGAAGGTTTCCTTCTCATCTTGCCTGCTGTAGCCCCAAGGCTGCCTGAGAGGGACTTGCTCTTCCACCTCTCAGCAGCCTTTCAAGTGTTGGGATGCTGCTGTAGCTCYCGTCATGCCTCTGCTCCCAGGATTCGTGTGACCCAGCCTTCTGCAAACTTTTCATGCCTGCTGGATTTTTCTAGGTTTCTGGTCACTGCTCTTCCAGACTTTCTCCAGCAGGTCATGGCTGCTCAAGGCATTCTGCAAGCCTCTCACCCCAGAGAGCTGGAGCTGCCTCACAGCCATTTCAGACTGCTTCCTCCCCCGGCACAGATTCCTTTTAAATTCAAATCCTGTCCCACTCCATGCTGTCATTTCTGTCATCCACCTCCCGTGTCACCTGCAGAATGCCACTCCCAGACTGACAGTGAGCATGGCTCCCCAGTTTTGTCTTTCTGGCCAGTTTTGTGGATTTAGTCCTGCAGTTCAGTGCAGCCACAGGGTTGCCCCTTGGTCATGGGAGCTTTGCTGGAGGCTGTCCAAAACSCTTGCAGTGGCAATGGAGCCCATTGGTGGTGACAGCAGGACCCTGGGATCAGCTGGGTGCCTGGCAGGGTGTCAGAGCCCCTCATCTCGGGGGAGAGTCACTTTGCAGGGACTCTGTGGATGAGTCCTGTCTAGGGGAAATCCTGCTGTCTCCCTAGAGGTCACCTGGGGAGATTTTTGTTGCAGGCATTAGGGAGCAGAGGACTGTAGGTGCTGGTCTGCAGCTCGGAAGGGAATGAGAGCACTCAGCCTCTTCCTGAAATTGTGCCCCTGGGCACAGGGATGGCACCACATGCCTTTGTGTCCACATTGACATGCAGTGCTTCACAGGAGCTTTGGCACAGGTTTTTCAATACCCCCACTCCCTGCCAGCCCAAGGTCACCTCTCCTGGCTCCTGCAGCTCAGGGAGTGCCAGGCTGGAGCTGCTGGACTGGSCCAGCACTGCGGGTTGGTTTAGGGACACAGAACAGCTGTAAGACATCCAGGATGCTACAGAAAACAATGTGTTCAGCATTCTGCCTTGGTCAGGTCAARCTGATGGGTGCTTTTGCGATCCTCAGTGAAACATGGAACTAGTTTTGTAAGAAGGGAGTTGGTGCAGGATGGAGCCAGGCAGCTCAGGGGCAGCACCTGCCAGGAGGGATCCCTGTGTGCTGTGGGGTCCCATGTGGTGGCACCAGTGGTTTGTGRCCAGGCACCATGTGGGGGTGATGGGCAGGACCCTGCCTGGTGGTCAGTCCGTGCTCAACCCTTGGTGTGAGCTCTGCAGAGGAGAGCTGTCCCCAGGGGCAGCAGAGCTGGGAGCAGGGCTCCTGTTCACCCCTGGGTGCTGGRAGAGGAGTCCTGCCTGGAGCTGAGGGTGTGTGACCAGGCGGGGGCCAGGCTGGGAGCGCGAGGATCAGCGGGTGCTTTGATTCATCCACCGCCAGGGCTGATGCTGCCACAGCCCCACTCACATCTTCCCTGCCACCCCAACCCTCCCCAGGGAGGATCTGGGAAGGGGCAGGGTGAAGCAGCATCCTGGCACAACTCCTGGGGCAGCCCTGCCCGTGCCCTACACTGCCCTGGCTCTGGGAGAGGTGCAGTGTGAGTAGCCAGCAGTGCTGTGGGGCACAGGCCTGGCCCCACTGTCTCTGCTATCATGCTATTTTTGAATTCTCTTTTTTTTTTTTTGTGTTTTTTTTCTTTCTTTCTTTCTTTCGTTTTTTGTTGTTTTGTTTTTATTTCCATTTGTTTTCCTTTCTGTTCTGTCTCCTCGTGTTTGGTCCCTAGGAGCCAGCGCTAAGAAACAGGGCGAGGACTTAGCGGATAATGACGGTGATGAAGACGAAGGTATTTGTGTGCTCGAGGCTGCCACTGCATGACACGCAAAGCAGCTCCGTTTGCCCGCCATCCGCTGCCACCCCCAGGGAGCCCTGTGTGTGTCTGTCTGCCGTGCCAGGCAGCTGCGCGGGGTGGGGGGCAGGCTGGCCGGCTGTGCAGGGCACCCACGACCTTCCCCTCCTCCTCAYGGCGGGGAAAGCTCATGGGGTTTTTCCGCTTTAGGAGAAGTTTGGTCCCGCTCAGTTGGAGCGAGGGCAGGGAGGAAGCATGGCAGCTTGGGAGGAGAGAAGCCCCTCGGGCACCTGGGCCCATTTCACCCTGAGCCCGGTCACATCCCACCTCCAGCCTCATCCCTCCAGAGTCGGTGACATGCATCTGSGAGCCAGCAACCTCCCCTTCCACCCTTGCCTGGCCCTGCCGTGGCAGGCACCCAAAGGGTATCTGGCCATGCACGGGAGAGCCAGGGTCCTGTGGGTTCTGTGAACTTCTCCCCTTCCCCACCCAACAGAAGTGAGGTCGTGCTTGCAAGCASCAGCCGAGGCAGAGCAAGTGGGCTTTCAAGCAGATGTGATTCTAGATGTGTGCCAGGGCTAGGYGAGCTGCAGAACAGGCTATTTTTAGTAAAACAGGGTGGTTCGTCTGCAGGTTGTGGAGTCGGTGTGTTTGGCTGCAGAGCTGTGATGAGGAGGTAGAGGAAGGGCTGGCCAGGGTGCAGCCCTCATGTGCTGAGGACAGTAAAACCTCATGGTGTGCAGGAGGCCCAGAGCAGCTCGAACAAGGCCTGGCAGATGGCATTTAGGATCTGGGAAACTGATGAAAAACTTTTTCCCTGGCACTACTAAAACCCTGCTGTTTACTCCTGCTAACCTGTGCCCCAGGATCTCTTGTACCAGGGCGTAAACTGGCATTCAGCCGAAGTGACTGGRCAATGCTAAATCCACACACTCCCAATTCGGAGCTGTTTATTTCCTGGTACATCTCTGTGCATTGTTGCCACTCYGCTGCGAGGAGGGCCCTTTGTGTGTGAGTGAGCAGCTGCAGGATGGAGGAGAAGACAGGGGCACAGGCACTGATGCTCCTGCCCCTCACATTTTAAGCAGGTGGCCCTGGAAAAAGTTGTCCTGATGTAGCTCCACCATGCAGGCGAGGAGCTGCAAGCACTTTTTGCTCCCCTGGTCTGTGCCTTTGTCTGGCTACATCCTGGCAACAGGAAAAATGCCAGCACAGGTTTTGGGTTTGGCATAGCCTCATTCTCCTGGAGGGAAGAGGTTTTCTGTGTGGGAGGCCACCTTTCAGCATGCTGCGGGCCACAAATGGAGGTGAGAATGGCCGCAGATACCCATCAGCCTGACACAATGGGCAAGGCACAGGGAGGAGTGGTCACAGGCAGGGGTTAGGTGGGTGTGAAGGGAGCGTGAACAGCACTGGAGCTGGTGTGGCCGTGCYCCAGGAGTGCCAGCCCCAGGGGTGCACAGAGGCAGCTCTCAGGCACTGCTGCACTGCTGGGTGAGGCAGGCAGGGAGCAGCAGCTGCCTGGGGCAGGCACTGCCAGCCCACCCGAGCAAGGTGCTGGGTGTGAGCGAGCACGAGGGAGGACAAAGTCCAKGAGTGCTGGATGGCCAGCCCAGGACAGGGCTGGGCAGCGCAGGCATGTGGGACCTGGCGATGTCTCCGTGGYGGGTGCGACTGCCCCGTCTGTGTGACACGGGCGAGATGCACCAGGAGCCCAAGCGTGGCTGTCATTCCCTCGTGGGTGGCCATGGCTGCCAGTGGGGCAGAAGGGGCAGGATTGTCCCCTGGACTGATGCTGAGAGCAGGAGTGTGGCTGCTCCCTGTCCCCTGGGCTCCCACAGCCCTTCTCCCCGGCCCTCGGGGTCCCATTGCCCATCCTCACTCACTCCATGCCTCATGCCCTGTCCTCGTCAGACACCGTGCTCACCCCCTGGCACGCACACGTGCATACACTGTCTGCCTCATCACCATGTCTGTGTCTGGGCACTGGGGTGCCGTGGGTTCACATCCAGACAGGCAGCTCTCTGCCTTCCCAGGGGCGTGGGAAGGGGAGTGGGACAGTGAGACACTGGAGCACACATCAGTGGCCCCCCCACCTTGTAGGTCCTGCACACCCCCATCCCTGCCCCCCTCCGCAATGCCAGCTTCCAGGACTCACGGAGGGCTTGGGTCCGGCCAAAGACAGGACATGGGGCTGCAATCCAGGGCTGGACACTGCAACTCCCACCCACAGCAGACCTGATCTGGCTCCCAAAAGATGCCAGAGCCCAGCTCTGGGGAGCAGCAGCGGGGTCCAGCCAGCATCCCTCCCTCATGTGCTCAGACCCTCGAGGGGACAGCAGTGTGGGGACAGTGCAGTGATAGCCACCTCCTGGAGAGGGGCAGCAGGGTTGGTTCAGTGGTGTCTGGCTTTGGAGGTCCATGCTGTGGCCCCCCAGGAGAGCTCTGCCTTTGGCTCCCAAGCCCCCTCCCCAGTCCTGGCAGCTGGCATTGCCCTGGTAYTCGGTCTGCCTGTCGGGCAGGGTGCTGCAGCCATCGGTGGGGTCCTGTGTTTAACCACCTCTCCTTCCAGACATCCGGGACAGCGGGGCCAAGCCAGTGATGGTGTACATCCACGGTGGCTCGTACATGGAGGGCACGGGCAACATGATAGACGGCAGCATCCTGGCCAGCTATGGGAACGTGATCGTCATCACCCTGAACTACCGCGTTGGAGTGCTCGGTATGAGCTGGCTGCCGTGGGCAGCGCCGTCAGCGCAGCCGGGCACTGGGACAACCCTTGTGTCTGACCGGACTTGGAGCAGCCGGGCAGGGCTGGAGGGGGGCGTAGGGCCCGGCGGGATGCACCGTGGSCACTGCCCCTGCCTTCCGCCCTGGCAGCCGCACGGGTGCCACGTGGCAGAGCCCCCAGCGCGCCGCCACAGCCTCGGCTGGGCCCTGGCACCGGCCCCCCCCGGCTCACTTACACAGACTGGCTCAACTGAAAGCAAATATTGGTTTGTGGTTAGATGAATAATAAATGTGTTTACCCAGCATGTCCTCCTGAGAGGGCTCAGAGCGCTGAGGTGCCAGCGGGTACTGCCTGGCTGTCCTGGGGACCTGGCAGCTCTCCCTCCCTGGGCACAGGCTGCCTCCAAGCCAGTTACGCAGCTGGGACCCCCTCAGCAAGCCACTGTGAGCTGGCTGTCTGCAGAGGGGACCACAGGAGGGTGTCAGGTGGCACACAGAGGAGGCYGGTGCCTTAGAGAGGTGACTTGGAGAGGCGAATTGAGGACAGGAGGTCAAAAGGCAGCGCAATCCCCTGCCTGCAGCACAGAAATCTCCAGGGGCTGGGACACAGAAAGCTTGTGCAGAACACCACTGCTGCTTCCCTCAGCAGCATGAGAACGAGGGGTCTAGAGGTTTRGGARAAGCTCCTTCCCAGCCAAGCTGCTGGCAGGRCTGGCTCACTTCCTTGCCATCCAGCCTAGCAGGGTGCTCTCCCATGGCAGCTGGGCTCCTGCCTGGTACCTGGGACAGCACATCCCTCCAATGGCCTCCAGGGCCCRYAGATTCTTGWGGAAGATGATARTTATGTAAAAATAAACCGATTCAASATCTTTYAATATTAACAGGTAGGCCTTTAAGATCAATAGGTGTGAAGTTAAGACACATGAGTCACACACAATATGACATTAGATTAAGTGGTGCCTTCATCACTTCCATTGAGGTGCTGCACCACACCCAGCCAGACCCCCTCCAAGTGCCAGCACAGCCCTGGGGCCACTCCCTCTGTGCTGGGATTACCTGCCTGGATTTTACCTCAGGCCAATGGTTTTGGCTTCCTGCTTAAAGTCAAAGCAAACGAAACAGTGATAACTTATCTTGGGTGTTTCCTGTGCTATTGAAAGCATTTCTCACCTTCTTCCTCACTGAGAGCCTTTGTATTTTAAGCTGCAGTCGGTTCCTGTCTCCCCAGCCCACCTCCTTACATTTATAGAGCCTCCCCCAGTCCACGCTGGTCCATGGAAAGTATTGGCTGTGCACACACTCGCCCTGCCTGCAGCCACCGATGCTTTCTCAGCTTCCCTTGGAGCTTGTGAGAGATGTCCTGAGCTGTTCTTAGCACAGGTGGTGGCATGGGTAGGACAGAGCTTTGTGCAAATTGCCCTGTCCCTGCTTGTTGTTGGCCAAAGAGGCTCCCAAAGGTTTGCAGCTCCTCTCTCAGCCTTTTGCCCCTGTGTGCTGTGCACAGCTGGAGCTCCATGGTGTCCCTGCTCYAGTTTAGAACTCACAAGATTCTCATGCTGGCAGGGTCTCGTGGTGGGATAGGGCTCCACGGAAACTCCCTTAGGTCTGGAAAGGGGGGTGGGAGATCAGAACATCCCCTGTTTGCTCATCCCTAACCGGGCTCCCCTTGGCCCCCAGGGTTCCTGAGCACGGGGGACCAGGCTGCCAAGGGCAATTACGGGCTGCTGGACCAGATCCAGGCGCTGCGCTGGGTCAGCGAGAACATCGCCTTCTTTGGGGGAGATCCCCTGCGCATCACGGTCTTCGGCTCCGGCATCGGCGCCTCCTGCGTCAGCCTGCTCACCCTGTCGCACCACTCTGAAGGTAGGTGTCAGCCGCGCTGAGGATGCTGCAGCTGCGGGAAAACGCCCTGCCGCTGCTAATACAGGAAAGGGAACCCTCCCGGTCCCACTGCCCAGCCTAACAAACTCGGGGCTGCCTTCTAATTAGTCACCGGTGGTTCTAATTAGTCAGTGATGGTTCTAATTAGTCACTGGTGGTTCCAATTAGTCACTGGCCCAGGACTGGGAAGCAAAACCTTCTTTCAACTAGCATTGAGAGGCCAGGGMCAGAGCCAGGGATGGAGTAGGTGCTCCCAGTGTGCAAGGCAGGAGCCCAGGGACAGCCCCTTGGCGTGGGGAGAGGTGGGGACCCCTCCTGTGGTGCCCTGCCCGAGTGCTCTGGTTTCTCGTGTGCCCATGTGGAGGGGGAACTGGGCACTGGGAACAAGGGTTTCTGCTAGGAAAAACATTCTGGAATAGAGGGGAAGAGAAACCTGAGCCTGGAGAGGGGTGGAGCACCTTGTGTTGTGAGATTAGGAGAGCTGGAAGTGCTGCCACTAGCAAAACACAGGTGGAAGTAATATGATTAATATCTGTAAATATAGCAGAGTGTTTACTCTAAATAAAGAAGGGAATTATTTATGTAAAAGATTGTGTTGGAATAAGAGCAAATGCATGTAAAGCACCTGCAAAGACATTTACATCAAGCACTGAGGGGGGGAAACAAATTAACTGTGAGACTAGAGGTGGTTTTGATAAACTTCCTAAAGGAAATTATAGGAGCAAAGTCTGAGCTGGATATGTTCCACAGGGAAGCAGCCTGCCAGGGACCAGCTCATGGGCTTTATATGAGGGTGCAGCCATCTTCCAGTGCTGTGTCCCCAGGTGTGATTCTGAGGAGAAAAGGACATGTGTGAGCAGGAGACAYGGGCATGAGTCTGCCCCTCAGAGACACACGGCAAATGGCACTCAAAGCTGATGTGAAGAGCTGCTGCCCTGCTCAACAGCCTGGGAATCACACGGGAATGGAGACCTCCAGAGCCCCAGCAGGGCTGATGGCTGACCATGGGGAGTCTTTTACAGGCTGAAAGCTGCTGCAGCAAGAAAAGGTTTTCTCTGCCCATATTGAGTGCGAAAGGCTGTGGAGGGAACGCTATGTGTAATGCATTCTCAATGCTTCTCAGGGTGCTCCTTTCTATCACAGGAGTGCAGGAGTGTGTGCTTGGCTGCCCAGGTGGCCCCAGCCTCCAGAATGGAGCAGCATGGAGAGGGGCTGAGGGTGGATTGGAGGGGCTGCTTCTTGTGACTTTACAGCCATGAAAAATACTCCTGCCAGTACAGCACTTTACAGATGATGCTGCACTTTCTGCCACCTGTGCCTGCATGACTTATCCTTTGCTGCCCCATCGCCTCTGGTGTGGCCCCTCTGCATCTCAGCAGTGCTGGGTGCCCRGCACCCTTGCTGCTGTGGCACAGGAGCTGCTGCTGACTGTAAATGCTGTGGGTGGGAGGGGTGTGCTCAGTGCTGCAGCCAGTGTCTCATAAAGCCAAATGGCCGTAAAATGACCTCAAAAAATTCCCAGAGCACCCATATCCCCAGGGATGGGTAGCTGGCTCCRGAACACGGCGTAGGAGCCGTGCTAAGTCACAGCCTGCAAGCMGGTGGGTTTGTTTTTATTGCAACAAAATAAAACTAGCAGCAATCACAAGCTATTAATGAAGCTGCTGATTTGTGCCTGCTCTGCCAGGCACTGCAAGAGGCAGACACTGGAGGTTTGGTACAGCACGTTGTGTCTGGCTGCTGGGGAGACCCACAGCTCCCTGCCAGCCTCAGGCCTTGCAGGCAGGTGGATTCCTCATCAATAACCAGAGTGCTGCTTTTTTCCCAGCCAGCCTTACCAGGGCAGGAGCAGTGTCTGCCACGCAAACTTTATGTGTTTCCTTTGCCCCATCTCCTGCTCCGTGGGGGCTTCTGCYCTTTGCTGCCATCCCTCCAGATCTCAACCAGACAAGGCACCCAACACCCTTACTTTGAGCAGGGCTTGGCCCAGACAACCCCAGAAGCATTTCCAGTCTCARCTGCTGGGCAAAGCAAAGAGGAAATCAGGAGCTGGCAGCACTGGTAACAGCTTGCAGGAYCAGCCACCCTCTGGCAGAGCCCTGGCCCCACCACTTGATTCCTCTGTGCTGTGGCAGCCAGTCCTGCAGGTGGGACCCTCACCTTGGAGGGAAACGGGCAGGAAAGGCAGAGTTTCAGCTTCTTGCCAGGACCCCAGCAGGGTGGAGAGGTCCAGTGTGGAGTGCAAGGTGCTGATGCCTCCCTGAGGTGCTTGTCAGGCTTCACTTGGGTGCTGGCATGGAGTGAGAGGACACGACGAATCTGGACTCTCAGAGGATCYGGGGTCTGCCTGGATCGGGACATGGYCATKCAGAGACGTGGCAAAATGTCCATCRGRGACATGACCRACATCATGTTGGTGACATCAGCTGCCCCGTGCTTTCCCAGGCAGTGGTGGGCAGGGCCAGAGCCCAGCCTGGTGGGTCTGTCTGGGAAGTGATGCTGCTGGCAGGACGCAATAGCTGCTGCTGGGACAGCATCTCCAGGGAGCCAGGAAACCCCATCCTGGCTTCTTGGCACGTGGATGGTGGCGCAGAGCAAGCAAACCCATGGCCAGTCTCCAGCCTGTAGGCTGGGTATGGCTTTCTAGGGCACCGGGAGGTGACAAACAGAGCTTGTGACTTCTTTTTGTCCCAGTGCATGGGACTGTACGTCAGGTACTTGGCAGAGSGAGGACTGTGCGTGCAGACAAGAGCTATGGACATGGTGGCCGGGRGCCAGGAGCCTCTGAACGCTTCTGTTGCGGGAAGGTGCTGCTCTGCTTCCCCGCAGAGAGGCACAGCGTTGCTGCACAGAGAGTTTCTGCGTTTCAGGGTGCCAGGGGGTGCCATGGCCACCACACTGCTGTGCCAGCACCATGCAGGGGTCACCTGGAACAGTCCCTCATGGTGAACGAGTGCTGGGGTCTGGCAGGGGTGCAGGCAGCACTCGGGGTGCAGAGAGGGCTGGTCAGAGAGCAGGGACCCCTGGGTGCACCCCGGACTGGCTGCCTTTCACGGCCCGGAGGCTCTGCTTCCTCACCACCCTTTGTATTCTGAGCACAAGCACCATTGACATGGGACTGGAGCGAAGCCACGCATTTCTCTGCCTGGGCCAGGGCCTTTGTGGCCTCGTTTTCCAGGGCGAAAGTCCACTCCCTCTGTGTTCCTGGTGGCAGAAAGGCCCTCTTTGTGCATCTGGCAGCGTGCTCCTGCAAGGCCGGATTGGCACTGAGCAGCCCCAGCTGGGCAGGAAGCAGCAGGGAGGGGGTCGGGGGGGACTCTGACAAAGCGGTGGGGTGKGACACGGCAGGGTTAAGTGTCCCCAAGCAGGCGTTAACCCTCCCACTGCTGCCAGCCCGCAGCCTGGCTGCTCAGTGAAGCAGGTGCCAACCTGGGCTGGAGGGTGGCACTGAGCCAGGAGCAGCGTGTGCCCTCGGGGATTCAGGTGACATATCCTTGGGGTGGCTGGGGCAGCGTGTGCCCCTCGGGGACTCGGGTGACACATCCTTGGGGTGACTGGGGCAGCATGTGCCCCCTTGGAGACTAAGGTGACACATCCTTGGGGTGGCTGGGGCAGTGTGGGCTGTTTGGCAAGGCCAGGCTGTGATGCTGCCATGGCCACTCTTCTCCCCACACCGGGATAGAGGGATGCTGGGCCAGCCCCTGCAATGGGATCCTCAGGAAGTACTGCAGCCCTTGGTTGCTTCCAGGAGCATCCAATTTCACACCCAGCTGTCACCCTGCCATCCCCACAGCAGCCCTGAGCTCAGCCCCTGTGTGAGCCCGGCTCAGCAGGCAGCACAGCCTGGGGACAAGGCCAGGTGTGGCTGGAGGGCTGGGTCCTTGCAGGGTACAAAACATCAATGCCTTCTGCTGCATCCTGCACTGCAGCTCTGGGATGCTGAACCCTGCTGAGAGCTCCCCCTGCTCCTTGCCTGTGTTGCAGGTCTCTTCCAGAGAGCCATCATCCAGAGCGGCTCGGCGCTCTCCAGCTGGGCCGTGAACTACCAGCCCGTGAAGTACACCAGCATGCTGGCTGACAAAGTGGGCTGCAACGTGCTGGACACCGTGGACATGGTGGACTGCCTGCGGCAGAAGAGCGCCAAGGAGCTGGTGGAGCAAGACATCCAGCCAGCTCGCTACCATGTGGCCTTCGGGCCAGTCATTGACGGGGATGTGATCCCCGATGACCCAGAGATCCTGATGGAGCAGGGCGAGTTCCTCAACTACGATATCATGCTGGGGGTCAACCAGGGTGAGGGGCTGAAGTTTGTGGAGGGCGTGGTGGACCCYGAGGACGGCGTCTCGGGCAGTGACTTTGACTACTCAGTCTCCAACTTTGTGGACAACCTGTACGGCTACCCTGAGGGCAAGGACACCTTGAGGGAGACCATCAAGTTCATGTACACGGACTGGGCCGACCGGGACAACCCCGAGACACGTCGCAAGACACTGGTGGCCCTCTTCACTGACCACCAGTGGGTAGAGCCGTCGGTGGTGACAGCCGACCTGCACGCCCGCTATGGCTCCCCCACCTACTTCTACGCCTTCTACCACCACTGCCAGAGCCTGATGAAGCCTGCATGGTCCGATGCAGCCCACGGGGATGAGGTGCCTTACGTGTTTGGGATCCCCATGATTGGCCCCACAGACCTCTTTCCCTGCAACTTCTCCAAGAACGACGTCATGCTCAGTGCCGTGGTGATGACCTACTGGACCAACTTTGCCAAGACAGGGTGAGTGGGGATGGGAGCCATGCTTTGGGGGTCTGCACTCACTGCAGCTGTACTCCCTGGGGCTGGGGTGATTGTCATGTGTGGTGTGGGACACTGAGCCCCCCGCACCCAGAGATCTATGTGCTGCACCTCCACTGGGGCCGTGGCATCAACCACAAAGCAAGAAGCTTAGATCACGGCCGGCCCCTGGGACAGGGCCTAGCCAAGCCACAGGGTGGGGAGGCTGGTTTACCCTGGTTATCATGGAGCTGACCCAGGGTTGGGGTTCCGCCCAGTCATGCAGGACCTTTCTCCAGCCCAACCTCTGCCACCAGCGGCAAAGGCTCCCTCAGTTTCCGTCTCCTTTCATAAAGCTCTCCCTCTTGGCTTCTTTGGCTTTTCCCAGTGCTAGTTCTTTCTGCCTGTGTTTTGCAGGGACCCCAACAAGCCCGTCCCCCAGGACACCAAGTTCATCCACACCAAGGCCAACCGCTTTGAGGAGGTGGCCTGGTCCAAGTACAACCCCCGTGACCAGCTGTACCTGCACATCGGGCTGAAGCCGCGGGTACGCGACCACTACCGGGCCACCAAGGTGGCTTTCTGGAAGCACCTGGTTCCCCACCTGTACAACCTGCACGATATGTTCCACTACACCTCCACCACCACCAAAGTGCCACCACCCGACACCACACAGAACTCCCACATCACCCGCCGGCCCAACAGCAAGATCTGGACCACCAAGCGCCCCGCCATCTCGCCCGCCTACAACAGCGAGAACGGGAAGGAGAAGTGGAGCCCCGAGCAAGAGGCGGGCACGCTGCTCGAGAGCCCCCGCGACTACTCCACCGAACTGAGCGTCACCATCGCCGTGGGCGCCTCCCTCCTCTTCCTCAACGTGCTGGCCTTCGCCGCCCTCTACTACCGCAAGGACAAGCGCCGGCAGGACACGCACCGGCAGCCCAGCCCCCAGCGCGGCGCCTCCAACGACATCGCCCACGCGCCTGATGAGGAGATGCCCTCCTTGCAGGTGAGCCAGGGGCACCACGAGTGCGAAGCTGTGCCATCCCACGACACCCTGCGCCTGGCCGCTCTGCCCGACTACACCCTCACCTTGCGCCGCTCTCCGGACGACATCCCGCTTATGACCCCCAACACCATCACCATGATCCCCAACTCGCTGGTGGGGCTGCAGACCCTGCACCCCTACAACACCTTCACCGCCGGCTTCAACAGCACGGGGCTCCCGCACTCACACTCCACCACCAGGGTATAGCTGCCCGCCGCCGGCGCACACGCATGCACGCACGCACACACACGCAGCAGACACTGGCAGAGGGACCGGCGGGGCCCGCAGAGCCCCCGGACGGCGGGGCAGCGCCCACGGACGGTGCAGCTCCCAGCCCAGAGACCTGTGGGGTCCCGGAGTGGCCCCAGCGCTTTCTTTTGTTCCTATCTAACTTTTGAGAAGTGCTTTGACTCTCCTGGCCTCAGGGCCCCGCGGGTTGCCCCGGGACGCCAGTGGGGTGCAGGAGGGACACGGTGTAACCCTGCGCAACCCACCCATGCAGGTGGGCAGGGGTACCCCACCGTCAGTGGCCACGGGGCTCCTGGGGCCGTGGCTGTGCCTCCAAGTGGGGCGATCACATCCCCAGTGCTGAGCCCACCGAGCACCCTGGGACTGACGAGGAGCGGGACTGGGCATCCCTCTCGGCCGGTGCCCAGACATCCCCAGGCAGCTTGGCAGCCCTGGAAAAGGCTCCTTCACTGTGCTGAGAAGTGGCCCCAGGCCATGGTGCTATAGGCAGAGGGAATGGGCAGGGTCCAGGGACCCGGCCTCGTGCTGGGTGCGGGCGCTGGGGCCGGTGCCGGGGCTCGGGGACCCTGGGAGCGGGGCCCTGGGCTGGAGACTTGGCACCTCTGCCCCTCTTTGCGCTGCAGAGAATCTCTTTTGTGTCAGTCATTTCTCTTTGCAGAGACGTTTTTTAAGCAGATCTTTAGTTCTTTACACACTAACGGAGTCGCCGCGTTTTGTCCTTTGTAAAGATTTTAAAACCAAGTGTTCTTGATATAAAATAAAAAGCCAGTTAGAAGCCAGCGTGTGCGCACGGTGCCGGCCCCCCATGGCGCCCGCCTGCCGTGGGTGGGCACCAGGCAGGGCAGTGCCTCCTGCACTGTGGGGCYGCGCTCTTTTGTATTTTTTGATATTCTCCCTCCTCTGTCACCCGTGCCCACGTATCTCAGCCAAAAAGCCTATCCAACGGCCTGCCTGCGAGCACCCCCGCCCYGGTCCCTCACTGCCACCACTGGCCAGTGCCACCACYGCCCCGTGTGGGCATCACCTGCTCCGAGCACTGTCTGTTCACTCCCACGAACCCAGGACAGCCCCTCATGCTCCCCACCCTGCCCTGCTCCCCCAGGAGCATCCCACATCCCTTCACCACTGCCCCAGGGCCGTGCTGTGCCCTCCCTGCCCATGCCGCTGCCCRAAAGCAGAGCTGGTGGTTTGCAGCCTGCGGCAGGAGTGGGGTGACAGGAGCAGGGTRAGCTGCTCACCAACATCCGCTCTGCCTCCTAGGTTGCTTCCACTGGGGCCTTTACCCCATCGTAGGGTGACCCCAGCTCCGGCATCCAGGACATGCAGCTGGAACAGACGCTCGGGCAGGGACCCTGGGGGTGATGCAGCCCGCGTGGGGCTGGGGCATCTGCTGGGCTGCTGTGGCCACCGAGCCACACGTGGCTCATGGCGAGTGGCTTTGGTGTGGTGGGGCGTGGAGAAGGAGCTGCAGGGGATCCCACCTGGGGCACCCCAGTCTCAACCCCCCATGGTAAGCACTAGCACCTGGGGCCTGGGGAGGCAGGAGAAAGGGACAGGTCCTTGTGGGGACACCGTATCTTGTCCCTGTGCAAGACGGTCCGGCTGGCAGACGCTGCCCGTGCTGGCGGCCGTGACGCACCCGTGCCGGCTGGCCCTACTGCCCGGGGCCAGCGCATCGATGGCCCTGCTGGCCCTACTGCCCGGGGCCAGCACAACAACGGCCCTGCACCCTGCCCCAGCCCCCACCCCGCGCAGGGCTGGGGGTGAGGATGCTCGTTGGAGAATGTATTTATACCCTGTCACCCGCGCAGAGTAACAAATTCCAAATAAAACAGAAGTGATATTTTTAATAGCGGTGTGTCTCGCCTCTTCTTGGAGCATGCAGGGTCTGGGGACTATCAGGCTGGGTRGGGTGCCCCATGCTGACCTCATGTYCCTGGCAGCCACCCCACAGAGGCAGCAGGAGGACCCTGGTATCACCCCATGTCAGGGTGCTGGACACCCTGCACAGCACATATGCAAGCTGGCACCAYACCATCCAGGGCTGCCAACTCCAAGTGCCACAGTGTGGGGTGTCCCCACATCCCCCCAGCCCTGCTGCCCCCCAGCACTGCAATCCCATGTGGGCATTCATCTGTCCCACAGCCCCCTCCCTCCCAACTTCCAACCCCTTCCCCAGCCTTTCCCAGATGAGCTCCCCTCCCCCTATTTGCCAAACAGAAAAGCTGCTGGTTTCATTTCTTTTTAATGTAATTTCAGCTGGAGTTGCCATGGAAACCAGGCACGGAATGGGGGGGCTGCATTGCCTCCAGGCAGCGTGCAGACACTGGAGCCAGGGCCGAGGCCCCTAGCCAGGGGAGCTGGGGCAGGCAGGGGGACAGGCTGTGCAGGAGGCTGAGTGCGGGGCTCTGCCCTGCTCTCCCCGGGGACCTTTGCAGCTCCAGTGCCACAGGCACGTGTCACCCTGGTCAGCACCGTGCTCCAGACCCTGTGCTGGGCACCCCTGAGAGCCCAGGTGCTGTCCATTGTGGCATCCCACAGGGTGCCTAGTGCCCTCTTGAAGGGGTGATGCCTTTCTGCCCCAGATGAGAGCTTGCCCTACCCTTCTGTCCCCTCTCCTCATCCTAGCACAGCCCCAGCTGCATGCTGCTACATGAGCCAGCATGGCCAGCCCAGCTAGGACCCCAAGGCAAGCTGGTGACAGACAGCCCACTGCTATTATGCTGCCGCCTTTGCAAAACTCCTGAGGCTGCCATCTGTCCAGGGTGTCCTTGACCATCAACAGCTTTTCTTTGGAGACCTGGCAAAGCTCAAGGGACAGTGTATCCCAGAGGGTATGAACAGTTAACATCTGCATGACAACTATGGGACATCCTCTGCTTCAGGGGACATGTTTAGGACTGTTGGCAAAGAGAATCATAAGGGAACTCATTTACAAAGGTATCCCTGGCATGGGAGGGAGGGAGTGACCTGTGGCTGGCCTCTGGCTGCTCAAAGATTCACAGCCAGCAGGAAGGCAAGGGCTGCTGCTCTTCACACTAGCATCACTGGGGTAGTGCCCTGGGCCTGTTCTCCACATCTTTGATGTACCCAGGGCACAGGAGAGCAGACTCGCAGGCAGGCAGGGCAGGCTGTTAAGTCTTACACTGCAACCCCCTCTCTGCCCTGTGCTGCAGCAGCACAAAGGATTTCTGTGCTCACCCACTGCCAATGACCTTCCTGGCAGTTCACTCAGACCAGAGGGTTTTGTCTCTCAGAGAACAGCAGCCTGGATCCAGGGATGCCTGTGCTGCTGTCAGTCCAAGCCCGGAAGCCCAGCGGCCCCTGCACTGCAGTGGTCATCCAGTGATGAGGTTGAGCCACTCACAGGGCTAACCCTGCGTGGGGCGGGATGGCTGGGGAAAGGGGACTCGGAAGCCTTCTCYGCAGTCCTCCTGACAGTGGACATGTTTCAGGAATGGTTCAAGCTCRGTTTCCTCCACCGCACCGATACAGACTGAGGGGCTGCAAGTTCGCTGACCCCAGCAGGGTGCCAGCAGCTGCGTCACCCCAGTCCCACCRTCCGGATGCTGGCTCAGTCCTGCCCATCTCATCAGCTTGTCTGCGTTAGACGTGCCCACGTCTTTGACCTCTTCGCTTGCAACTTCAGACACCAATTAACTTCACAATTATCGTCATTRACAAAGAGCCCGTTTCTGGCCCACGTGGTCGCGGGCGGGGCAGTTTTCTGAGTATTGGAGGCAGCGCCGGCCACGGCTGTTTTGTACAGTCTGTCCTTGACCGATGGCTTTTGCAAACAGGCGAGGGGGCTGCCCGCGCTCTCGCCCACCCCCGGGACCTCTGGTCCTCCCACCAGCTCYCTGCCAGGACAGCGGGCGGGCACCGGGCTGGACAGCAACGCCCCGGGTTCCTCCTCCTGTTTCCTGTTGCTTTTTTCTCTGTTTTTAGTGTATTTCAGMAGGATTCCCACGCTGAGCCCCGCCGGGCGCTGCCGCGGGCAGGTGCGGCCCCCGGCCCGGCCCCGCAGCGCCACCTGGTGCCACGGCCGGCGACCACCCCCCGCCGCACGGTGGCCCCTCGCCTGGTCCCTGTGACCGCTCGCCCGGCTCTCGGGGCGCTGCAGTCATCCCTATCCTGGCTCCCAGTAATCCCCAGTGACTCCCCGCCTGGCTCCCAGGGCCCCCGCTCTCCGCGCCAGCCTCCCATTGTGCTTTGTCCCACTCAGCTCAGCCCACCCCAGTGCCCACCAGTCTGCCCCCYTCGGGATCCCCCCAGTGCCCCCCACCCAACCCGATCCCCCCAGCCTGGCCCTACTAGCCCCTTGCCCACAGTGTCCCCAGTCTGCCCCCGCTCCCCCAGAACCCCTCGAGGGTGCGGGACCAGGGCGGTGCCGCCGTTCCGCCGTTCGAGCTCCCGCCGGGCGCTGCTGACTCAGGTGGCGGTGGCGGCGGCGGCGGCTGTTTATCGGAGGCTGAGATTGTGGCCCCGATGGCCCCAACCCGCCCTGCACCCCGGCCTACCCCGTTATCTCACTGCCCACCGCCCCCACCCCGCTGCGGGGGCACCCCTAGCCGCCCCAGCCGCTCCACAGTGTCACCCTGCCRTGCTCATGTGGCACCTTTGTCACCCTCATGCAAGGGATGGTGCGCGGGCTCCTGCAGCCCAGGGGCCCAGGATGAGCGGCAGGGTCGCCATGTCCCACACAAGGTGCTGGGCGGCGGGACCTTGAAGCGGGCCAGCCGAGTTAATCGTTGACAGGCTGTTTGCCTTTTCCCGGCTGCACTTTTGCTCATTAAATCTGGGTATCGGTGGCTCCCCAGGGGCCAGCAGCCTGCAGCAGCAGATCAAGGTGTTCCAGGAGCTGGGGGTACCCAGAGTCATCCCCCGGGTGGAGAGCAGGGCCCGCCRTGGTGCACGTGTCTGGCTTGCAGGGAATGCCGCGGGGAGGATGCTCGCAGCAGGGGACTGGGGCCACRGGGACCGGAACGCTCCCCCGGGGGCCATCCTGGGGGTCTGGCCCCGCCAAGGTGCGGCGATAGCCCCGGGGCTCKCCCCGGGGGATGCTCAGCTGCGGTGGTGGATGCGGGTGGGTGTGAACTGCGCTGGACACACCTGCGGTGTTTGCTTGGCGAGTCGTGGAAGGAGCAAGGCTGTTTGGGAGGGGGCGGGGGACGTGCCTGCGGGGCAGTATAAAGTCCAGGGTGCTGCGCTAGAGGCTGAGACTGCTGCAATCCCAAAGAGCATTTGTTGTCCTGGCGCTGAGGTGAGAACCTGGAGGGCACAGCACCGCTGTGGGGGTGGCCGCATGTCCCCCAGCTGGGGAACACCAGGGGTGCCAGAGTGGGGCCACAGCAGGGCTCGGCCATGGGCCAGGGACAGTAGAGCCGGCAGTGCTGGCCCTTATGGCGGGAGCGGGGCGAGGAGCAGMGTGTGGCCATGAGTCACAGCTTTGCTGGACGGTCTTTGGCCGCCACCGTTCGCACAGCTCGGGGTGCTCGCACCTTGGGCTAAGGGCAGGAGATGGCATTTGGGGTGGCATTAATTGATCTGCCAACSTGCGGGCACCCAGCTGGTAGGGTTTGCTGGATATGCTGCTCCCCACCTGAGGCTGGGGACAAAAATCCAAGAGAGATTGAGCCATCCCTGCAGGGATGGGGCACGCCGTGACGGTGTGGCCGCCGGGACACAGCCCTTGAGGGGCACGAGGGGTGTGCGAGCACAGGGATTGTTGTCCCCACCAGCATGTCCGAGCAGTCGGGCAGCGTCAGTGAGCCCGTCTGGGGGAGGAGCGCTGCCCCCGCGATGAGGGCAGCCCCAGCTAGCACACAGCCAGCGTCACTGCTCCGGACTCTGCCTTGTCCCCGACGGGACGGGGCACACGCGGGTGCCCACACAGAGATTGCCGCTGGCACCAACCCCCTGGGAACACCCCTGAGAGCCTGGCAGGACTCAGAGCAGCAGTACCCAGTGCCTCCCAGCCCCACGGCAGCCCACCGAGTGCTCGGCGGCCTGTGCCGTCCGTGCAGGACGGGCGCGCTGCTGGCTCGGTCACTCTTGGCGGGGAAGGGACCTGCAGCCACGCGGGGTGGCCTGTCCGGCACAGCGGTGTGTGTGGCGTGGGTCCCGCCGGGCAGAGCCACGGGCACCCCGCGGCTGCGGACTGGGAGGCTGTGGCCGTGATCGGTGCGGGGCGTGGTGGGGAGGTGGGAGTGGGTGCAGGGCCGAGCAGCGGGAATGCAGCACACAGGCACTTTGTTTGGCCAGGGTGGGCGGAAGTCAGGGCGTTAGATCTGAATGCTAAAGTGTGTTGTTCAGGGGCCGATAAAGGCCCCATTGTATGTAAATAGTTTATAAAGCAGCATATGACTTCCAGTGCAGGGCAGTGGCAGAGAGAGACGAGGGCAGGCGGAGCAGAGCTCTCCTGCGGGAGGCATGAGACCTTAGAGGGGCCACTGGGGGCAGCTTGCGAGGACCCTTCCTCACGGCAGGTACGCGTCGCCAGGACCCTCCACGCTGGGGGGTTGCTGGTCCCAGGCACCCAGACTCATGCAGGGGTGGGAAGCAGCTCCCTGGACTGCTCAGCGCCCGTGGGTGGMTCTGGTGGGGTGGGGGTCTGTGCTTGGGCGTGGGATTGCCCTGTGTTCCCTGGGCAAGGATGGCTCTGGGAGGGTGGCAATGCAGGGCTGCACGAGGGGAGCCCCCAGTTCAGGGTTCCCTGGCCCTGCTCCTGCGGGCAATGGAGGACAAGAGCAGGGAGGTGCTGGTGCAGTGGGGCCCATGGAGCCCCTTGGGTCCATTCCCAGCCAAAGAGCTCAGCACTGGGTACAGACTGGGGGTCCCTGCGGAGTGTGGGAGCTTCACCCCCATTCTCTATGGCAGCTGTGGGTTAGGATCCCTGTGCCAGTGTGGGGTGGCAGGGCAAGAGCATCTGGCACTGCTGGGCCAGCCGGTCTTCTGCCTGCTCTGGCCAAAATSCTGCCTTGAGCCGTGTCAGTAGCAGGAGTCATGCTGCCATCCTGCTGTYTGTCCATCCWGCTCTCCTCCCTGCCRGGGGCTGCCACCGGAGCCAGGACCTGGTGTCTCTCAGCCAGGGGTCCTTCCTGCTCCTAACACCATCTCTCACYGCTCTCTCCTGCAGACGTGAGAAACGATGAATTGGGCCGGCCTCTACACAGTGCTGAGCGGGGTGAACCGCCACTCCACCGCCATCGGGCGCATCTGGCTCTCCGTCATCTTCATCTTCCGGATAATGGTGTTAGTGGTGGCAGCAGAGAGCGTCTGGGGGGATGAGAAATCCGCCTTCACCTGCAACACCCAGCAGCCTGGCTGCAACAGCGTCTGCTACGACCACTTCTTCCCCATCTCCCACATCCGTCTGTGGGCTCTGCAGCTCATCCTGGTCACCACACCAGCCCTGCTCGTGGCCATGCACGTGGCCTACCAGCAGCACCAGGAGAAGAAGCTGCTGGTGCTGACAGGGCACGGGGATGCCAAGCACATGGAAGAGGTGAAGAAGCACAAGATGCGCATTGCRGGTTCGCTGTGGTGGACATACGTCTGCAGCGTGGTCTTCAGGCTGCTCTTCGAGGCCGTGTTCATGTACATCTTCTACATGCTCTACCCGGGCTACCAGATGATGCGGCTGGTCAAGTGCGAGGCTTACCCCTGCCCCAACACTGTTGACTGCTTCATCTCCCGGCCCACCGAGAAGACCATCTTCACCGTCTTCATGCTGGTCACCTCCAGCGTCTGCATCGTCCTCAACATGGCAGAGCTGGTCTACCTGGTGGTGCGGGCCTGTGCCCGCCGAAGCCGGCACAACTCCAACCCCTCGTCSGGGAAGGGCTCCTTCTATGGGCACAAGCATTCCTCCGAGTACAAGCAGAACGAGATCAACCAGCTGCTGACAGAGCAGGACGGTTCCCTCAAGGACATGCTGCGCCGCAACTCTGGGCTGCAGGAGAAGGGTGACCGCTGCTCTGCCTGCTAGGGCCACCACTGCAGGGGTCCCAGCCCCACAGTTGCCCCATGGGCCTGTTACTGTCCCTGTCCCAAGGATTGCATCCCTCAAGCACCAGTCTGGCTCTCCTAGATGGCCAGGAGGGCATCTTGGACCATTAAATCTCCATTCTCAGGTGCTGCCTCCCTCCTTTCTGCTCTGGCCGGGGACATGCTGGGAGCTGGGGTGCCAGTGTGGGGTGTCCATCCCTGTACCCAAGCTCTGGTGGGTGCCACGAGGGGCTGTGGGGGCTGCAGTGCTAGGGCTGAGCTGTGGCCGTGGCTGTGGTGCCCTGGCAGCCAGCACACAGGACCAGTGACCCCTGGGTGGCATTGATCAGTGTCCAAGGGCTTGCGCTCCCCCAGCACCAGCCCCTGCAGCCCCGAATATATTTAGAAAAGTGCCCAGACCAAAAATAGAGGGGAAAAGTTTCCCCAGTGGCTGTTTCATGTGCCAGTCACAGTGAAAGCCAATGGGGCACGCAGCTGCCTCATGCCCCAATAACCCCACGCCCGCTGTTGGGTGACCGACAGGCAGAGCCAGGCAGACCTGTCCGCACCCTACAGAGGAGCTGGGGACCAGCTGGGGAAGGGCCTTGCAGCATCCCACATCACCCCACCTGGGGACCAGCTGGGAAGGGCCTTGCAGCATCCCCATCACCCACCAACAGGAGCAGACGTCGTGGGAGCCCATCTACGGTGAGGGGTCCCCGTGCCGCATCGCCACCGCGGTGGTTCCCTGTGGTGCTCCAGATTTCTGCTTCCCTTTTCTTGCTTCCCCTGCCCTCCTTGTGACAGGTTAGGGGTTCCCCGGGATGCAGGATGGGGACACTCCAGGGATGGCCTTGGGTTGGGTCTGTGCTCATCCCTGGGGAATGGGGTGACGTTTTGGTGGGGCGTGGGGTGGCCGTGTCTGGAGGGTGGCTGTCTTGCAGGGCACCACAGCACGTGCYATGGGGGACTGGAGCCTGCTGGGCCGGCTGCTGGAGAATGCCCAGGAGCACTCCACGGTGGTGGGGAAGGTGTGGCTCACCGTCCTCTTCGTCTTCCGCATCCTGGTGCTGGGGGCAGCTGCGGAGCGGGTCTGGGGTGAYGAGCTGTCTGGCTTCTCCTGTGACACGCAGCAGCCCGGCTGCCAAAATGCCTGCTATGACAGCACCTTCCCCATCTCCCACCTCCGCTTCTGGGTCCTGCAGATCATCTTYGTCTCCACCCCCAGCCTTGTGTATTTGGGCCACATCCTGCACCTGGTGCATCTGGAGGAGAAGGCGCAGCAGCAAGCGGCAGCACGGGCCGGCAGCGGGGCCAGGCGGCAGCGCCCCAGGCAGCCCCAGCCCCCTGCAGGGGACACGAGGGCACGGGTGTGCATGCGGGGGGCCATCCTCAGGACATACATCTGCAATGTCGTCTTCAAGGCTCTTCTGGAAGTGGGCTTCATTGTGGGCCAGTACGCCCTGTACGGGTTCCAGCTGAAGCCTCTCTACACCTGCAGCCGCTGGCCCTGCCCCAACACCGTCAACTGCTACATCTCCCGGCCCACTGAGAAGACCATCTTCATCCTCTTCATGCTGGGGGTGGCCTGCGTGTCCCTGCTGCTCAATCTGGTGGAGATCTACCATCTGGGTCTCACCAAGTGCCGGCGGGCACCAGGCCCCAAGTCGCGCATCCTGACCRCTCCTGGTGGCCCTGTAGGGCCCAGCAGCACCTATGTCACCCTGCCCAGGCGTGGCAGCCCCCTGGCTGCTGGCAGACCCCCCCATGGCCTGGCACCGCTGAAAAAGGCAGGTGCATGGCTGGGGGTGGCTGGTGGGTCCCACAGGGACATGCGAACCGCAGACCTGGCAGTGTGAACGGGGGTCTGCTGGGATGGTCAGGGATGGGCAATGCAGGGGTGGTCACAGTGGTGGTTGTGTCTCCAGTCTCTGCCAGGCCTGTGGCATGGACCCCACAGCCAGCATGAGAGCTGGGCACAGCGCTGGGGACATGGCTCAGCTGCTCCTGGCACTTGTGGGAGCAGCAGGGCTGAGAGTAGAGCTGGGAAGTGGGAGCAAATAAACGCTTACTGCACCTCACTTGACTCCTATTCTGCTCACGGGCACTGTGGCATTGCTCTCCCAACTGCTCCATCCTACGGACACATTGCATGGCCAGGGCAGGGCCTGGCGTGGGTGGGGCTGCAGCCCTGTGGGCAGGGACAGGCAGAACAGCCATGCTGGCACCAGTGGGCACTGGGTCAGGGGCCATCCCAGCATGCCAGAGCTGGCAGGACAGCAGRGGCCAGGCAAGGTAGGAAGTGCAGGCAGCACAACCTGGGATGGACMCGAGTGAGGTGCATGGCAGCACTGGGACACTGGCCCTGCTCTCCTGCAATGCTCACTGTGCCCAGGGGGAAAAACAGGGGCTGCCAAAGTTTTTCACATCTTTATTTGAAATGAATGGTTTCCAGAGACACAGGGTTAGTCCTACAGCCCTGGCATCACTACAACAAGACTGGTGAGCGGCTCACTCTCCACATGGACACAGAGAACAGATGGCCCCAGGCCAGGGCCCAGAACAATATATACAGGCTCAACAGGAGACCCATGTACAGCTCAAGAAAACCGACCAGAACACGAGAACGGGCAGGAGGCAGCAGGGAGTGGCACAGCTGGAGTCAGACTTGCCCTGGGCAGGGCGCTGGCAATCKGTGGCTGTGGGAAGGGAGGGGGAGGCCAGGCAGGACTCCCTGCTTCTGCCAGCAAATGYCTGAGCCCCTGGCTGGAGCAGAGGTTCCCACTGATGGTACCTTGCACAAGAGAGGGTTCTTACACCAGGACAGGGRACGGTGGGGACAGAGGGGTAGCACTGGCACAGACCCTTCTCCATCAGTTCAACAGACTCAGAAAACATTGACCAAAGACAGGAGGCCTCCTGGGTACACACAAGGGAGGTGTCCCTGTGGCAAGGTCAGATCTCTGCCCACAAGTTCCAGCGTGAGCTCCATCCACTCCCGGCAGCCAACCTAAACTCCCACCCCTCTGACAAAAACTCTCCCCCTGACCCAGTCTCAGGCTGGCTGTAGCCCATGCTCACCAGCTTGWAAAGACAATGCTGCCCCAGCAGCAGAGCTACTGTTCCTGCCTTGGTATCTCCAGCTTTGTGAGGGAATGCTAAAGGAAGAGGGAAGTAAAAGCTTCGGGGGCCACTGGTCCGATGGTGCACTGCRTCTTGTGCAATTCCGGCCCTGGGGCACGGGGACAGAGGGGTAGTGGCAGGGCTGGGAGCAGGGAAGGGACAGGGCTGGGCAAGGGGAACTGACCCAGGGACTCTGCCACTCCTGTGCCGTGGGAACTGACCCTGGGGAAGGTGGCTCACCCAGCAGCCAAAACTGGAGACAGAGCTGAGTGCAGGGGCCACGTATGTAGGGGAGGCCTGTAACGAGCAGGATGGCAGGTCCGGTCTGGTAATGATGCAGGGACAGCACTGCTGCAGCACCATCCCCTCCTGTGCTGCACAGCCCCTGCCCTGCAATGGCAAGCAGCGAGACGAGGCATGCCGGGCTGGAGCGCAGCCAGTCCAGCAGCACCCCGCCCTTAGTCCATGTCATCCTCCAGGCTGCTGAGCCGACTGTGCTCCTCGTAGACCTCCCGGACAGCCAGGATGCGGTTCAGCATGCTCTCCAGCATGCTCCGGTCCATGGGGATCACCGAGTACCAGAGCGGAGACTCGGCGATACACGACCGCTCGGGCTGCAGGTAGAACACATCGTTGCGGTTCCGCAGACTCTCGGGGCTGTGGAGACAGAGGAGGGTGAGACCAGAGAYAGCAGCTCCAGGGACTTACACAGCCTGACCTGATGTGTTTAGCAAGGGATGCTCAAGTCTCACCACAGCCTCTCATGGTTCAGTAGGATAAGGATATAGACTGAGCCTACAGCTCCTTGTTCAAGGCCAAAACCCCAACCACCCAAGCACCAGACTCCCACAACACATTCCTGCCAGTCTGGAGGAAGGCAAGAAATGGAAGAGGCCAGAGAGAAGCATTCTCTCAACCATGGTCTAGTCAAGCATCACCTGGGCAAGACCGCATATTTATGTACAAATGTCTAGAGAGCAGCAGTGACTCCACAGGGTCCCATCAAAACTGAGAGGTGGCCCCAAAATGGCACATGCCCCTTCTCCAGAGAAAGCCTCACCATTTGGAGAGATAAAATTCGTAAAATTTGACCGGGCATCGGAGAGGATTCATCCTGTTCTCCCGCTGCTCCAGCATTGGTGCCTCCTCCTCACGCTTCCGTTTTCCAGAGCCACCATCTGCAGAGGGGGGAGAGTTGGATGACGGCTGGATCCCAATGGGGGATGCAGGGGAAGGAACAGAGCTGTTCCCCAGACCCACCTCGGCTTTTCTTCTGCTTGGCCGGAGCGTAGTAGCGGATGCTCACCACCTTTGTCATGCCACGGGCCGTGGTGCACTTGCGGGACTGGCGCACCACGTTGGTGAAGGAGAGCTGCATGTGCTCCTCTGCTGTCTGCAGCCCAAAGAACTTAGTGTTGAAGAACATGAGGGTGTTGAGAAGCACGAAGGGTGAGTAAACACCCAGCTGTTTGCACTCCCAGAGGTGCTCCTCCTCCACACGGGAGAAAACTGTGTCTGCAACACAGGGGGAGAACCAGGTCACAGCAGCAGTGGCCTTGTGGCAATCCCTCCACCCTGCCCAGCAAAACACTGATGCTTCACAGAATCTTTTTTCACAAGGTTACTTCTCCAGAGCCACTGGCAGAGCCATGAGCCTCCCCAGATCACAGCCAAACCACAGGCAAGAACCCGTATCAATCCTAACTGCTCATCACTATGGGTGGCCAAAAAGTGACCTCCAGGTCAGTGCTCCAAYACACTCTGTGAGGATTAAGGAAAAAGCAGCAGGCAGGAGAGACCTAGCCACCTCCTGCCTAGGTACACAGGTCTGGAGCCAAATGGCTCTGCCTGGGAGTCAATCAGCAGAGGTAAGGCTGGATCTGTGACCTAACTACTGACAGGACACAGCAGGGAAGGCAGCCCCGATCACAGCACCATGAAAAGCCTCTGCAGAGCTCTAAGCTAGTCCATTCACACAGCAGCAGCACAGCAACCTTGGTCAAGGCCTGGCACAGTGTGCAGGGCTCATCCACGTGCTGGGAGCACAAACACATGCACCAGTGCGCGTCCTGGCTTGGCATCCTCCTTGCTAAAGAGAGGAGACACCACTGTGAAGTGTTGTAAACATTCAAATTGTCCCAGGATACAAAGCACACGTGCTCTGCTCCCAGCTACCCTAACCATGGGCAGCAGAAGCTGCTGAAGCATAACCCACGCTGGCTGTGCTGTTGGTTTGGGTCAGCATGACCCCAAGGCACAGSAGGACTGTGCTGCCTGTGCCAAGGCTGAGGCTGGGGGAGCACAATCAGGCCAGAGGAYCCAAGGCTACAAGCACAAACTGGATGTGTGTTGAGTGAAGGTACTCTGAAGACACGTACTATTTGGTAAGATTGTGGGTTGCCAGCCGCTCAGGGACTTGTTCAGCTCCTGCACGAAGGTCAGGTAGTAAAGGTCTGTAAATATATTCACCATACGATTGTTCTCGAGCAGGTACTAGAAAGGACAGAACACACAGTCAAGAGAAACACAGCAGCACCTGGAATGCAAACCCTCCCCAGAGCCCAGGCACACATACAGAGCACCCTTCCTTGTACCACCAGAGCAGCTGGGCAGACATTTCTGAGAGCTGTAAGGAAAGACCTGGGGCATGACAAAGCAGCTCTGCTCAGGGATGTGCAAGCAGGGTTCAAGGCTGGGGAGTAGTTGCCACCCTACCCTCTGGGCTTGGGAACACAGACCAAACCAGGTGGGCTGCTGTCCTGGGCTGAAGCACTGCAGGAGAGTCCAGCCAGCCTCTGGGGCCCCAGAAGGCAGAATGAAGGGCACAAGCTCCCCTCACCAGATCTGACCACCAAGTCTGGCTGGAGAGGACATGAGAGCAGCAAGGCCTCCCTCACCTGCTGGATGCCAAGGCAGAGGTAATAGATGCTGTCTGGTTCGTAGCGCTCCCCATTGGGCCGTGTTATCTCCTTGACAAACTGCGCCAGGCCRTAGTTGAGCTCAGCTGCTGAGCAGGCCAGGATATCTTCCTTGATCCTCATGGGTTTGGCTGCAGAGACAAGCACAACAGCCTCAGACAACAGCCTGCAAGGCCATGAGAACCTCAAGACTGCGAGGTCAGGCTTCTGGAGGTTCTGCCACTGCAGTGCCTCCAGACATGGCACTTACGGCCAAAGCGCAGCTCCTCTCCCTTGCTGGTCTCTCCCCCTGCATACTTGGCCTGCACCCAGGACTTCCAGGCGTTCACACCGTATGAGTAGTTAAGGACTGTGCAGCTGGGCTGGCTGCTCATCGAGTCCCGGGAACAGCTTTCCGAGAGCACCAGGCGCTTCTGCCCCTGCAGAGAGGTGTTCTGTGAGACTGGGCACCTGCCTGGGACAGGGGCACGAGTCCTGGCCACCCCTGAGAGCTGCTGTCAGCTCCCCACAGTGCGCTGGAGGCACCCTTCTGCTGACAGCCAAGCCAACAAGGCTCAATAGTTTTGAGGGCCAGAGGCAACAAAGAGACCAGCTGTCGTGGGACTTGTAGCATTCAAAGCTCCTCTGAAATGACAAGCAAGTATTTTCATTCAAGGAGTGGCCCACARGCCAACCATGCCCTGAAGGGAGAGGGCACAACCTCCCCAACACACCAAAGACTCTGGCACGCTTCACCTTGTACATCCCCATTCCAAACCCAAAGAGCTTTAAGCAGGCCCACAGAGAACTCACCTTCCGCACAGCTCGAGGCAGATCTTGCTCTGTGGAAACATCATCTGGTCCCACAAGCCCACAGTCAAAGAGGAAATCCACACTGGAGTTGATGTCTAGAGGGTCTGAAGGGAAACAAAGGCAGAAGGGCTCAGCTGAGACTTCTCATCCTCTCCCCAGTGCTGGCCTGATTTTTACAGCAAAATGGAGAAGGAACTCGTCATGTCCTCTACCACTGCCTTGGCACAAACTTTTAGCCACAGCCCAACAAAGGAAATACATTTCTGGGAGACAAAGCTAAGCTTTGTCAGAATAACCACATTTTCCTCTCTGACAGTTTTTTGTTTATTTTTTAAACCTAAAGAATGTTCCTCATTCCCTTGTGCCAGGCCAGTACTGGGGAGAGCCTGCCACAGGCACCTCAATTTTGATGTTTGCTGCTAGCATCSTGCCTCAGCATTGCTGTGCTCCTGCAAGTCCCTGCCTCTTCTTCCACCTTCAATTAACATACACTCAACAATTCTGCCATTTCTCAGGATGCCATGCTTTGTCCAGATCTCTTCCCTTGCCAGATCCTCTGGAATCATTATCTGTAAGCACATCAGTGCTGCTACCCTGCTCTTTGTGGTGTTAAAATCAACTTCTCATTTCCCGTCTCTGAGCCCTATATTTACAACAGGTGAGTTCAGTGTAGATACACCCTCCAGAAGCAGCAGTCTCCTCAGCCCTGCTGCACGCAGTCACTGCAGAGCTCAGTCCCAGGCCTCACATCTGGTCAGTCAGAGGACATGAGGAGGTTAAGTTCACACAGCTCCTTATGGGAGGACCCTCAGCAGCTCTGCACACCAGTGTCACCCAGCTCTTACTCTTAGGGAAGTCAGCCTCCAGGTCCTGGCCCGGCTCATCAAGGACATTTGCCATCTTGACAGCCATAGCCAACACATCATCCCGTGCTGGTCCAAACAGATCACAGTCCTCCAGGAGACCCTCTGCACTCTGGTTACTCACCAGGTCTGCAAAGCAAAAGTTCATCATAAATCCAACTTTCTYGAAAGTCTTGTCTGTTTTCCCTGTGACAGCTGGAAAATCAAGTTGGGTTCCCTGCATGTAACACAGCCCTGTGCTCAGAGCAGCCTCACAACACCCGGACTGTCCAGATTTCCCTGGACAGCAAGACATTGGAAGGTTGTTGTCTCCCCARCCACAACCCCCATYGCTGTGATTTGTAGGAAYGCAGTAAAAGTAAAGTAAAAAGATYTGCAAGACCAGGATTGCTAGTTTTGTAGATTGGAAGCTGCTTTAGGGAAGAGTCTGAAAAGACACCTGAATAAACTAAGAGAGCTGCACATGTGCCACAAGACCGGCACCCTTGAAAAGGGCAGTGGCAGACATTGCTCCCTGCTGCAGCTCTTCTTTTCTGGTACCTCCCCAGAAGAAGCTGAGSATTTACTCTTCCCTGCTTCTTTTTCAAAAGCTTTTGGACAGCTGCAATCCTGGCAGGTGTTTCAGCTCCAAGAGGTGGCAAACCCCACTTGATCCCAACGGCAGAACCTACCACAGAGGTCTGAAGAGGCCTTGTCCAGTTCCTCAGCCTCTGCAATCATCTCAGCCATGGCCAGAATGTCAGCTTCTAGGGGATTGGAGGGGATCTTCACCTTCAGTTCTTCAATGGTCTCCACAATCTTCTCTGTGCTCTCCARTGTGGTGGGCAGGAACATTGGCACAGGCACCTGTGGACAGCAGCAAACCRGGCAGAAAACTGACACTCAGTAGACTGACATGAAAGCAGAAGAGCATGAACAGAGAAGCAGAAAGGCTGCAGTATGGCAGGATCAAGACTGTAAGAGAGTAGGAGCAGGTGAAGCAGTTGCTTACCGGGACAGGCATGGAGAAAGGCACAGGTACTTTCTGGCAGTACATATGCATAGGCACAGGCACGAAGATTGGGACGGGGATTGGCAACACAACCAGCTGGGGCTTCCAGTCAGCCTCTGACAAGAGCAAAAATACATCAGTGACCTTAATCCCAGAAGTTCCTCCACCCAGCCCTGCCTCATGCTGCCATGCCCCCAGCCATCCAGCACCATAGCCCTTCCAGCCACCAGCTTTTATGACTCAGGGGCAGAGCTGGAATAGCAGCAAGACAAACCAGCAATGAGAGAGGCTTGCCTCAGTAAGAAGTATAAATCCTGCTCTTACATAGCCCTGCTAAGAGGTTCAGTTGCACACCTCACACACATGCCCAACAGGAACTAGAGTGGAACCTGCTCAGCAGACAGCCCTCAGACAAGCTAATGATCTCCAGAGGAATCGGAGTTGTCCTCAGGAGGTGGGATCAAGCTAGAGAGCTCTCTACACCTTTCCTTTTGCTGCTGATGGAAATAGGCTCCCTACCCACAGCCCTGCCATGTGTGCCCTGCACCTGCACAGACTCCTCAGCACGGTGTCCAACACCAGCCACTTTGTGCAGCATTTCAGGCTGGATTCACAACTAAGCTGGAGCGGGGACGTGCCACTTGCCTTTCCAAAAAGCCCCTGCAATCCTACAGTTATGTCTTGTTTTCCTACCTGTCTGACATCCTTTGGAYTTCATTTCGAACTTGCAGGAGACACCCCGGTTCTGCATCAGTGGTTTACACATGGCAGCTTTGTTTTTCCGAGGGGTGGCCGGAACCAGAGGTGGGGCAGGAGGCGGCACAGCTGGAGACGTTTGGGCTGAGGAGGCCTTTGCTGACAGCTGAGAAAATGCAGAAAGCAGGAGGTTGGTGTCCACCTAAGGCAGCAGAATCTCTTCACTACTACAGGTACAGATGGAATGACTCCCAAAGCACCTYCTGGAGCCTGGCAGTGCCCAACACACGGACACTCCAATGGTCAGGCCGTGGTGAAGGACTGCCAAGCTGTTCCTGGCCGGCAGCAAAGTGCTGCCTCTGCTGTGCCAGGAGTCTAGCAATGGTGGGTCCTGTCCCATGGGGTAGAGAGGAACAGTGGGACAGAAATTACAGCAGGCACAGGAAAGAACTTTGCAAAGAGGAACCAGTGCCATAGTGTCAGGCTGTTCTGGAGTTCATCATTGATTCCAGTTACTCTTCCCCCTTGCAGGAGATATGCTGATGCTGCCTTCCCTAGGAGCTGTTATCAGCTCCCACTATCCAGACATCTCCAAATGCATTGGTTGTAGAACAAAATCTCCCTGAACAATGGCAGAACTGTCCTCTCTTTGGGGACAGCCCCTGTGTCTTGCAAATTCCTACATCCAGTGGGTCTTACCATGTTAGTTTCTGCCTTCTGTGGGGAAGGGGAAGGGACAGTTGGTTTTGGCTCTGAAGTCTGACCTGTAAGAGAAAGCAACAACTCTTAAGTTCAAGAGCTCCTGGGCCARTATGTCCCACTGCTGGGACTGGAGGTGCAAGCAGCCAGAGAGCAGGGACAGGCTCCCCAGAAACTGCTCCTGGCCACTCCAGGAACAGTTAATGTTTCCACAATCTCTAGCCCTAACGTCTCAGAAGACACTACAACTCTAAAATCAAGATATTCCCATGTCATTTTGTGTTCCCTTGCAGTCCACCCCTTCCCCCTCACAGCAGGTCAGGAGAAATCCCAGCCCCTTGTAGAGAGAGGAATCCAGGGCTCTAATCCCAGCTCTGCCTATTGGCTTGCTGTACCGAGCCATGGCCCCTCCCTGTGCCTCCATATCCCTGCAACAAATAGCTTGGCAAAGTGCTTCGAGATCCCTAAGAAGAAGRTGACAGAGCTAGTAGTAGCATTATGAGACATCCCAGAAAGCAGACAGACAGCTTTGCCCCAGCCCAAGGAATGCAGTCCAYTCCCCCAAGGAAAGAGAGGATCACCTGCAGATGAGAGGCGCCATGTGGCACACACCGGTCTCAGCTGTCACCGGTGGTGACAGTATCACCCTGCCTTGGATGGTAATTCCAGCTCATTTGGTGTGCAGAGAACCATCTCAAAGGCTTGTGAGCTAACAGGGCACCTTCATCCCAGTCTCCAGGGAGCCCTGGTTACTCATGTGGCTGGCAAAAAGAACTGCCTTCCATCCATGGGCCACGTATGAAGAAGACCCCTGCAAGGACAGCAGCAGGTCCCAGCACCCAAAGGCAGTAGCGGGTCCATTTACAACTCCTGTACACAGACAGGCCCTTCAGGAAAGACCGAGATTCCTACAGGTCCTACACAGAAACATTCACACTGTGAAGACCCCCTGACTCAAGGAAATGCAGAATAATTCTTGTACAACTGGAGATCCATCAGGCTCCACTTGCTGACCACCACAGAGAGCAACAGATAARTTCCAGCTGGAGAAAGCTGCCTAGTTGGCAGCTGAACATTCAGCCATAGGATCTGGCAGGGGCCAAGAACTCACCCTGACAGCCACAAGTGGATGGGCAGCAGGTCCAGGTACAAAACACCAATGGCTCGAATGAGAAAAGACAAGCTGTGGCATATGAGCAGAAATTCTGCCACAGCAAAATCTAAAGCAAACATGATCGCTCCACTGGCCAACAACTTAGGACTAAAGAAAACAAAATTCTCCTGCCCTGTGCTATCTGTCCAGGCTTCCAGGAAAGCTGCAGTTTATTCTTTACTGTMATCCTGACACCAAAAAGGAGGTTATTCTTTACTGTCATSCTGACACCAAAAAGGAGCTGTCAAAGCATTGCCTGCTCTAACTGTGACTTCTGACCCTCTGCTCTCTCCAGCTGGACAGTCCAGTGCAGAGCCAGCTCCTTTGGAAATCTTTGGGCAAAGAGTTTTGAAGCAGAAGCTTCTCAATCCCAYGTTACACTGACTGTTCCCAGCAAAAGAATGTCTGCATATGTGATCAGCTGCAAGCACTCAGGATCACCAGACTGGTAGCAGCCACAAGATTACAGGAATTAATGGTTTTAGGCAACCACTGGTTACAAGAGAATAAGCAAGTAGTCAGCAGCTCTGTCCAACATGGGCCAGAAATCCAGATAGTCCCTTTTGAGCTGGCAATACAACTGCAGGTCCACAGAAGAGCAGGCAGAAGCTGCTCCTCCCAAAATCCCCTGTACAGCACAGTGGGCTGGAAAGCTCTGTGCAAGCAGGTCCTGACTCCAGCACCCTTCCTTTGCAAACTCAGCMGTATGTCCTGGGGCAAGGATGTCCACAGCTATCCCACATCTGGCAGGTGACTGGTRTGCCAGAACACACAGAGAACCCAGTGACACCAGAAGGATCCGTCAAGCACAGCAGTGCTGGGGCAGTCTGGAGCTCATGCTCAGCTGAGCACTGACCACTGAYGAAGGGCTTTTCCTCAGCTCCCTTTAGTCCTTCCAGGGTGCACAGAGATGTAGCTGTGGCACAGTGTGGGGTGATGCCCCGTATCCCAAGCAGMAAAGTTCTTGGGGACCTCCAGAGATGTGGTGGAGCAGGCCTGGSACTCTTATGCTTGTTGTTTGTAGAGAAAGAATTTCTCAGCCTTGTGACCCATGGCTCCAAGGACACAATGGCTAAACGGTGTGAAACATGCCTCCCTCTGTARGCAGCGCTTGTCCCTTGTGCCTGTGTCCCAAAAGCAGTGTTACTGGTCCCTCACAAGCATCATGCCTTGAAAGCAGAGGACAAATGGAACAGCATGACCAGGGCTGTGGAATCACTTGGTAAGCTACAGGAACCAGCATGTTACAAACCTCTTCCTCCCCTGGGCAGAACACTGTGAACCATCAAGCAGACTTCCCATGGGCACCCCTGTGCCAGCAAAAAACAACAGTTCCTTATCCAGGTCACTCCAATGTGCTCCCACTTGAGCTGTCACCTCACAGAGGCTTTTCTGGAGCATGGCTCTTGGAAGGTTGGGCCTCCTGCAGCTGGGAGAATCTGCTGCTTCTGGCAGAGGAACTCTGCTTTGCTGCCCAAGCAGCAATGACATCCAGAGCATCCCCTGTCTTATGATCAGCTCACTACAGTCAGGGGAGGAACCTCAAGAGTCTGGAGATGGAGGATGAGGTCTCTCATGTGCAGCTCCTTGTCTTGGTTTCCCCTCCTTGGCACACCCTAGCCAGGGTTTTACATCTCATGAAATCCCAGGGAGGGCAGCAAAGCCCTGAACCTGTGATACAGGYATGTGTTGAAGCTTGATGCACTGAAGCGAGTCCCACATCCCCCAGGTCACCCAGGAGATCRTGGCCTACGAAAGACCARGCAGAATGAGACTGCAGCTGTCCGAGGGCCAAGCGGTGTCTTGTCACTGTCACTACGAGCACCTTCCATCCTGAGGGATCCCAAAGCACTTTGCAATCTTCCATAAGCAACTGGCTCAAGTTAATGATRGGAAATGGGGCAACAGGCAGCGACAATCTCCTCTCCAGCTGGAACTCCATGGATGCAGAATGGGACAGGGTTGGCAAGTCCCCAAAACTGCAGTGGACTTTGGGTAAGTGGTAGGACTCCAACCTAACATCGCAAGACAGAGTGCCTCCAGCAGCTCAGTGCTCCCTCAAGACCGTTCTAGGTTCAGCTCTGGCTGAAGGAGAGCCCACCTACAGCATCACCAGCACCACTTCCTGCAGCACCCTTCTTTTGTCCTTGAATGTTTCCCATCCAAGCACTGACCTGGCCCAATCCAGATTAGTTTATGAGATCTGAGAAGGTCACAGCTCGGAGGTGGTGTGGGGCTGCAGGTGGATTGTCATGCCAAACCACGCTGTCCCCTAACCCTGTAAATCGAGCTCTCCGCTGGCAACTTGAGGATGTTAAATCCCTGAGTATCCTCGCTAAGAGTGTGAGCTACAGGCAGCACGCTGGCACCGGCTCCTCCCGTCTGGGCCCTGTGTGTCATAGAACCATAGATGTTAGAGATGGAGAAGCCCATTAGGTCCCACTCCGTCCTTTCCCCCCCAGGGGCCAGTGCAGGATTGTTCCCTAGCGTCTCCTCCAGTCCTGGGCAGGCAGCTTCCACCCCCTGCTGTTGAGTCTTCCCTGTGTCTCTCAGACTGAACTATGCAGGTCCCCTCCCTCCCTCCTACTCACTGTTCAGCAGGCTCTCGGGCCCCTTCTGCGTGTCCAGGTTGGGCTGGTTCTGTTGATTGTAAAATCGCAGCAGACACTGCTGGTTGCAGAAGTGTTTGATTTGCCCCCGCCAGTGGATGGTTTCCAGCAGCTTCCCCTGACGCTTGCAGGCATGGCACCGAGCTGCCTAAAGCCCGCATCAGCAGGAGAGAAACAACGAGTAACTAACCACACCCCCTCCGAGTGTAACACAACTCTCCAGTGAAAGGTGCACATCGCAAGGTGCTGTGAGCTTTCCCCACAGCAGTGCCCTGCCAGTGCCAGCCAGGGACTCCAGCGGTGCGAACTTCTCCCAGCAGCACTGGCCGCGGATCCAGCACTGTGAGCTTCCTCAGTGCARTGCTCTGTCTGGCAGGATCAGCTGGGGACTCCAGCTACGTGAGCTTCCCCGCAGCAGTGTCCCGTCAATGCCAGGCAGGACTCCAGCAGTGCCAGCTTCTCCGCAGCAGTGCCAGCCAGACTCCAGCAGTGTCAACTTCCTCAGTGCAATGCCCACTTATCTGGGTGCCGTGCCCACCACAGCACTTAGCACAAGCTGCCAGTGCCAATACTGACCTTGAAGTACCAGAGCAAGTATTTGCTTTTGCAGTCTTCACTACAGAAGTCCCAGGTGCTGCCCTCCAGCTGCTCGGTGACCGCCCGCTGGCAGGTCTGAGAACAGTAGGTGCAGGTGATGCAGCACAGGCCCAGGTTCTTGGTGAAATCCTGTTTGTAAAGAAGCACACACCCTGCGGAGAAACAACAGGAGTGAAACCTTCCCAGGATGAACTGGGGGCCTCCCTGACCCAAACATGACCAGAATCCAGGTCTGCGGAGACAACAGAGCACACGCAACACACTGTAGGGAACAATCCAGCACTGGCCCCTGGGGCTGGGATAAGATGGGACCTCATGGGGACTTGCCATCTCTCACCTCCATGCTTCTAGGAAGAGTCTGACTCCAACCTCCTGTGTGCAGGAACCCAGCAGGCAGGGCAAGGCCAGGTCAGGCCAGCCCAGACGCAAGAGCGTAGAAGTGCATGATGACAGGAGGAGCGGAGCTGCCACCTGCTGTCTCCCCAGCCCCCAGAGAGAGAAAAGCTGTGAGAAGGCCCTCCCCAAGGACACAATGAACGGTAAAGATCTTGCCCTAGGGCCTGGCTGGACAGCAAGCCATCCCCACAACAGTCCTCCCTTCACTGCATGGCAAGGCTCTTGCCCCAGGGCCTGGCTAAGACAATCTCCCCTCTGTTCCTCTCCATGCTCTCTTCTCCTCCCCCAGCATGGGCTGGCATGGGGGTTCTGCCTCTCCCATGCCTTCCCCAAGTACCTTCGCTGCAGAAGTTCTTCTCCACTCCGGAGAAACGGATTTTCTCATGCAGCAGCTTCTCCTGCTTGCAGTGCTCACACTGAGACACCACCCCACGCAGCCGCTTGAAGTCCTCGCAGCAGTCTTTGCAGCAGAACTGATACACCTTGTCCTGCCAAAGAGACCACAGCCAGGTCAGCCAGGCTGGCAGGAGRCTCCCACACTTCTCAGGGAAGCAGGAGAAAGACTACGGGGCTGAGTCAAGTTCCCAGCTCTCCTGGCACGGGATTTGGCAGGAATGGTCTCCTCCTGCCCTGCTGACATCCTGCTGAACATCAGGAGTGCAGCACTCAGCAGTCTCCAGGCACGTCTCTGCAGCTAAGGCATTCAGAGGACTGGCACAGGAGGAGCTCTGCTCAGAGCAGGGAGAAGAAGTAACCCAGAGGTTCTCAGCAGTGTTGGCCTCCAGCTCAACACCTCCCCAGGGGAAGTTCCTCACCTGCCAGTCTAGGATCTCCGGCTTCCCGCTGAAAAGATTGTGACAGTAATGGCAGTTGAGGTGGATGCCACCCTCCGGGCTGGTGCGCTGCAGGAGACAGAAACAGCTCATGGACGAGAGTGCTCAGAGGGCACAGGACCTGCCTCACACTGCCCATCTCTTCCACGGCCACAGCAGCCTGCCTGGCCCCTCGGGCCTGCTGCCACTGTGGGGACTCAGTCAGCCCATCACATCATTCCCAACCTCCTGGAGAGCTGATTCCTGAGAACAATTTCACTTTGCTTCCAGTGTGCTGAGTCTAGCTCTTCTCAGGAAGGAAGGCAAGCTTTCAGGCTGCCACACCACTAGACTTMAAAACTTAAGAGATAAGGGCTCTGCTGCCTCTTCTGAGGAGTTCTCTAAAGGTTCTTGAAGCATAGGTGCCTGGTTTCCATGCTCAAGATAACGCAGTTTAAGAATTTGAGCAGCCTCTCATCCCATCTTGTGCTAGATTAATCTGCTATATTAAACAGCATTTGGCATCTTGTCCACTACGCATTTAGTATTTTGTGTCTTGTCCACAAGGAAATATTTATTAATGAAGTCATTCCTAGTTTTCTTTCTGATAACCTCAGATAAGGCATTCTGTAAATGCCTCAGTACAAGCATTTTTCAAGTCCAAATTAAATTTCTGGGKTTTTTTTTCAGAATACTCCCAATTTTTCTTCAACTGAAAATGAAGTGGACATTGGAGAACATCCTTCCTATCTGTGCATCATTCTAGGTAGCTCCTTTACCCCCTGGCCCTACAACTTTATATTTGCCTGCTCATACTTGCAGTAAGTTCATCCTTCCCTATGTGGCTGTAAAACTCTTCAGCATGAGCCTCTCTGTTATCTGCTTTAATCTCAAGGCGTTTCCAAATGCTTGTTTTTCCAAGACTTGCACCCCCACACTACTCAAGTAAGGCTGACTTACAGGATCTTGCACTGAAGTGTGTTTAGGCACAYGTTAGGAGGAACCAGCCTTGTCAATCAATCCAATTGCTTTGCTTTCTGTGACTGCCCTGAACACTTCACCAGTCTTTGTTTCATCTGCTAAATTTCACCATGCTTACTTGGACTTTATTGCTAAATGATTGATGAAGATGTTGAAGTCCTGGGGCTTAATACTGATCCCCAAGAAGCCATCTTGAAATGTTCTCTTCAGTGTTTTCTTTTTGACAAGTGTGTTCTGAGATCTGCCAGCAAAACAGTTCCTAATCCCRGTATTGCAGGAGTTTACTCATATTTATAATGCTGATTTTACATGGCAATAATTCAAGTTAGGTGAATTAGTGAAGTCCCAGGTGACTGGAAAAAGGGAAACACTGCAACCATTTCTAAAATGGGTAGAAAGAAGGACCCTGGGGCCCCTGGATCCAGCTCAGTGCTGTGCCAGGGAAGATGATGGAACAGATCCTTCTAGAAGCTGTGCACAGAGGACAGGAGGTGATTCAACACAGCCAGCACGGCTGCACCGAGGGCAAGCCCTGCCTGACCAACCTAGTGACCTTCTCTGATGAAGTGACAACATCAGTCGACAAGGGAAGAGCTATGGATGTCATCTCTCTGGACATCTGTAAAGTCTTTGATGTGGCTCCCCACAACATCCTTCTCTCTGCACTGGAGAGAGATGGATTTGACGGCTGGACTGTTTGGTGGACAAGGAATTGGTTGGATGGTCACATCCAGAAGGCAATGTCCAGATGAAGATCACTGACAAGTAGTGACACTCAAGGGTCTGTGTCYTCATCAAGGACACAGTGGATGGAGAGCACCCTCAGCAAGTTTTCAGATGACACCAGGCTGAGCTGTGCAGTTGAAATGCCTGAGGGACAGAGTGACATCCAGAGGGACCYGGAGAAGCTCGAGCAGTGGCTCATGGAAATCCCATGGGATTTAACAAGGCCAAGGACAAGGTGCTGCACCTGGGGTGGGGTGACCCTCAATATCACCCCAGGATGGGAGATGAACACATGGAGAGCAGCCCTGCAGGGAAGGATTTGGGGKTTCTCCTGGAGGAAAGGCTGGACATGACCCAGCCACGTGCACTCACAGCCCAGAAAGCCCCAAGGGTRTCCTGGGCTGCAGCAAAAGCCCCGTGGGCAGCAGGGGAGGGAGGGGATTCTGCCCCTCTGCTCCACTCTGTGAGACCCCACCAGCAGAGCTGCCTCAGCTCTGGGGTCCCAGCACAGCAAGSACAGGGAGCTGTTGGAACAAGTCCAGAGGAGGCCATGAAGATGWCCAGAGGGTTGGAACAGCTCTCCTGTCAAGAAAGGCTGAGAGYTGGGGCTGTTCAAACTGGAGAAGAGAAGGCTCAGGGGAGAGCTTATTGTGGCCTTTCAATAGTTAAACAGGGCTTATAAGCAATATGGGGACACAYATTTTTTTTAGCAGAGCCTGTTGCAATAAGACAAGAGGTCATGTTTTGAATGTAAAAGAGAACATATTTAGATTAGCTATAAAGAAGTTTTTCACAATGATGGTGAAAACACTGGCACAGGTTGCCCAGAGAGGTGGCCTCATCCCTGGAAACACTGACGGTCAGATCAGACAGGGCTCTGAGCAACCTGGTCTGGTTGAAGATGTCCCTGCTCATTGCAGGAAGGTTGGACCAGATGACATTGAAAAGTCCCTTTCAGCCAAACTGTTCTATGATTCTGCTCTTATGAAGTCTGAATTGTAAAAGCTCTATAGTTCCACTACCCACACTATTTGTGACCTCAGTGAATGATTACATCGATGATTCATWAAAAACACAAACAAACGAAAAAACCACCAAAAGACCCCAACCAACCAAATGCTTACCCACCCCTCTACCCCCTCCAAAAAACCCCAAACTAAACAAACCAACAAAATCCCAAAACTAAATGTTGCAACTGCCAGTATCTAAATCTTACCTCTAGATTCTCTACGTTTTCTCAGTTGCCCAAGACATGTCCTGGCCTAAGTTTCTCACATCTTCCTGGCTGTTACTTTGCTCTTTGGCAACTGTACAAAACTAGTATTGAAGTTTTGTAGGCAAACTTGAAGCTGCCTATGAATACCACAGACATCTCACATACATTGAAACTTAACATTAGAACATTAAAAATCACCAGTCAAGCATTTGAGGATTATTAAACAGGAGGTATCCAGGCCTGCTAGGAGTAAATTTTTAGACAACACATCCAAGAAGACTTTTGTTTCTTGGTGACATCAGGCTGAGAGAGCAGCTCTGCCCCCTTGCACCCAGCGATCAGRTATGCACTATGCTTTGCTGGCTTGCTTGTGCTCTCATAAGGCCACTCTATCTCAAACCACTCTTGCAGCACAGCTGTGCACTGCCCTCCTGCTGGGCATACCCTGATAGACAGGAGTGAATTCCAGCCCACCTTATCCCAGTAGAAGAGAGGGAGATAGGGCCAAGACTGAGATACGAGCAATTACAGTCACTGCAACTCCTGTGCTCCAGAAGAGACTTTCTTAGGAACCCTCCCTGAGGAACTCAAGGAAGGTGGAGCCTCTGCTAAGTGTGAAAGGAGGCATGAGCTCCATGGCCCAGCCCAGCATAAAGGATATTTCAGTACCTGGAATTTGGTCCAGCAGCTGGGGCTGCAGAACTGGTAGACAACCCGGTCTGTCTTGTTGTAATAGCAGGGTTCAGATAAACTCTTTCTGCAGAAGCTGCAGGGTCTAGGGGGACCTGATGAAACAGATAGGAATTGGTGAGGGCAGCAGCACAGGATGTGGGACTGGATGTGAGGATGGCATGCAAGCTACTCACTCATCCTCAGTCTGTCAAGCTGTTATCAAAAAGCAAGGGACAAGAACACCAGGAAACTAAGAGCACCAGATTTCGCTACGGTAGAAATGTTAAACAGATGGAGAGCAGAGTGGTTCAACGGAGTGACCCTGGCTCTACAGGAATTTGGACAAAATAGGCTGCAATACTTGTCCCATTCCTGGACAGCCCAGTACTCCACGAATGGAAAGGGCGATGCCAGCACAGTCCAGCACTACAACTGCTCCCTGCATCCTCCAGAACAGCWATGTACACTACCCTCTGTGTTAAGATGTCTACATGCACCAAGGGTTCCTCCCTCTGCACTTCCACTCGACTCACTGGACTCTCCCCAGGCTTTCACCTTCTTTTCAGTCCCATCCACAAGTAATAAACAATACCAAGGAAGGAATTAAGAGCAGAGAGGTGATGATGCCCTCTGCACAGGTGCTCTTACCAACTAAGCCTGACTGCTTCACTTTGTGGGAGGTAGTGCAGCAAATGGAGCAGAACAGGCCCATCTTGCCACTGCGATCCACGTTGGGCAGCATGTCAAAGTTCTTGCACAGCGTCTTGCACCACACGCAGGGATAGACCCGAGTGTTCTTCTGCAAACACAGAGCAGAACAGAACTTCCAGGAGACCATCACAGCTGGCAAGRTCCAACTATCACATCCCACAACACTGCTGTATCCACACAGGACTGCTCTCCCATAGTGACCACCTAATGTCAGGGACAGGCTCACAGTCTAGATTCAGGTGGTGGTAGCAAAAAAAGCTGCTGTGTGCCCACAGAAAATCCCCCACGCCCCAGGCAGCTGGCTCTACACACCTTCTTGTAACTGTTGAGACATGCAGAGTTGCAAAAGCGTTTTTGCTGGCCTTCATGGAAGAGGTATTCGAGGGGCATGCCCTTATTGTAGATATAAAGTCCACAGAAGTCACAGCAGTTTGTTTTCAGCCCCTTGGTGGCYCGGAACTTGGTGAAACAAGCATCACTGCAGATGCGGTGAATGACGTTCCCATTGCTGACCTCGTGCTGGATCTGCAGAGACATCACTGCTGTCACTCCCCAAACCACGAGGGGCCTCCTTCCAATGCAGCTGTACCACTACAAGCAGAGCCTGGGTTAACAGGCACTGGAACTCTGGGAAGTGCCATACTGGAAGCTGGTGTGGACTCAGGGTGGCCTCCCTTGCCAAAACTCAGAGGAGCAACTGGGAGAGCAGAGTGGCAGGAAGCAGTGAGCCTCAGGGCAAGGGGAAGCTTGGGAGTGAGCTCAAGTCAGCTCAGGGGCTGAGGCCTCACACCATAGGAAAATCTGGCAAACACCGTGATCTTGACCAGGACTTAGTGCTATGGGTCTTAAGCACTTGATCCAGGACATGGAAAGGACAARGATTTGTTTACCTCTCCAGGTTTGTGGCAAACACTGCAGCGGCTGGTGTCCGAGGGATCTGCAGACTGAGGCGCTGGTCTGTGCTGCTGGGCCTCATACAGGGAAAGGCAGACAGAGGTGCAGAACTCATGGAAAGAGCCACCTGAACCAATCTGGGCAACCACGGAGTCCTTGGTGTTCCAGATCTCCCTGGGGATCAGGAGGGGATGTGTTAGTGCAGGGACATATCAGTCCTGCCACAAAGGGATAGGACGGCTCACKGCAATGCACATGACTTTCTGGTGTCCCAAGAAGTAGGCAAGAACTGTCTCACAGCAGCTTCTGTCCTCACCCAGAGGAGTGGTGTCTGAAGATGGAGCATGCAGGAGGTTGTTTTGGGAGGAGGCTGGAATATGGGGCACTAAGTGGGGACAGGCAGGGAATAGCAAGAATGTGAAGAGGATGTAAGGAGCATGGGATATGCAGGGTGTGAAGGAAGACACRGGGCAGGAGCTGGCAGTGGGCAGGAGTGATGGGGGTGAACTTTAGGGCCATAGGAAGGGAACTGGCAGGGAGGGCTGTGGAGCAGGTGAGTGGGGTCACAAGCATGGGAGCACTGAGGCAAGGGGAATGAACACACTTTTTGCAGAAGGTGCATATCTTCTTGCCAGGTGGTTTTTTTGAGAAGGTGGTGAGGCAGGAGCTGGAGCAGAAGAGCTGAGGAAGGCCTTTTCGCTGGTAGGCAGTCTGGCCCTTCTGCAGCGGGGTCCGGCAGTTGGCACACGTCATCTTGGTGAAGGTGGAACGGGCGGCTCGCTGCGCCATCTGCGTGCGCAGGGACATCCGCGTGGAGCGCCGCGTGCGGAAAGGAACGAAATCCTCATCGTTGGGATCATCCACCATGGCATCAGAGTCTTCGTCAGACACCGGAACTGCAGAGCAGCAGAGGAKAATCAGAAACCCCTCATTAGGAAGTGAGAAACTCTGCCACGAGACACACGCTGGGATTTTCTGAGTCACCTCTCCCGAGTCCCTCTATGTACTTTGTTCCTGTCTGGGTGGAATGATAAAGGGACCCTTAAAAGAAATTCTGTTGTAACTGGAGATGAATCAAGAGGTCTTTAAACAATCCAGGTGTAAGAACAATTCCCCTCTAGGAAGTCATGATATGCCAAGGTTGAGCAGAAGCCCAGAGTGTGAACTTTTACAGCAGAAAACCCCCTAAGAACCATTAGACCTAAAAGGGAACAAGCTGATCACCAAATTCCAGCACAGGCAGGCAATAAAGGAGCAACACACAAATACTAGGGAATGGCAGGATGACATTCAATGTCTCAAAGAACAGAGACTTCATGTACTTCTGCAGGAAGATCCCCAAGATGCAACCTTCCTTCAGACAGCCTGCTGTTGTAGAGAGAAAGGAAGAAACCTGGGTGAGGAGATGGAAGATGGATTTCCTGTAACACCCCAAATCTCATCCTGTTATTTAGTGCTTGGTGTCCACACACCACTGTAAAAATACATCACCACTCCCCGCTTTGACCTAAAYGCCCTGAGAAAGCAATGCAAGTAACCCAGGACGACCTGTGGGCTGAAAGGACCTGTCCTGCACAAAAGGGAAGTCTGCACACAAGTTCCAGAGTTCCCACAGTACTCACACACCATGAACCACCTGACCACAATGGATCTGGGCCATTCTCTGGCTGAAAACAGGTATTGGCCAATCCCAGGTACTCACTGCTCTCAGAGGAGTTCACAGTTTCAGGCCTGGCAGCTTCTGATCTTCTGGGTCGTTCGCTTCTTTTCTGCTCCTAGAAAACATTCAGAAAATATTTAGGCTAACTATCAGCTAGGACAACCACGGACAAATATCCCAGATCATGGTGGAGTTCCAACTTCTGGGATTTGGTTTCCCAATACCTAGGCTGAAAATGGATCGAACTCCATGGATACCTGACCAGAGCTGGCAAGACAGAGGAGAGGGGGAAGTAGGCTAATGAGAATGATATTTCAGCTGGGGGTAGCAGGGACACACCGAAGCCACATTACAGCAGTGGCAGTGCACAGGGATCACTCTGTCACAGGAGTCATGCAAACTCCTTTCCAGAGGGGTGATGAGACAGCCAGTGTCCCTCACGGAGTCTGACAACAGCCAGTCACACTCTATGCTCCTGTGACATACATACTTGACTGCATTCTCCTCACCTTCTCAGCTGGCAGCTCACTTCCCTTCCCAGACAGGCTTTCTCCTGGAACAGAAGCACAGAAGAAGCTTGCATCTAACATCTTGCTTTTCCCCAGCAGAAGAGCACAGGTGTTCTCCAAATGTTCTCCTAAAGTCACCCTTTGGGTCAGTTAGCACATGAAGCCACAGCCCATCCTGGCTATCAAGTACAGTTCTGGTGCTGATCMGACACAGGAAGGCTCCTAAGCCCACTACCTGGAGTTGCAGATCTAAACACAGGGCTTGGGAGGAGCCCTGTAAGGGGGAGACCTCCCTGCATGGGGCAGGCAGAATGRGTGGGCAATTACCTCCAACTGCTTCTGACCTAGACTGAGCATCTCCTGGGGATGGCCAGCCTGGGCAGAGGAACTCTGCCTATTGAAACACCTGCTGGTGACCTTCAGTTCCAGCCAAGATTCCAGTGATGAAGAGTGTGAGCTAAGCTGATGCACAGCCACAACTTAATTGGGGAAGCTCCTCACTGCCGCAAGCACCAAAAATCAGTTAAAGCCATGAAAGCCAGAGCAAGTGTGCACACCAGAGCATGATCCCTGTACACAAGAGGCTTTGCCCAAATCTAGACCATCAGAAGAGCTGGGTATTTCCACAGCAGGGGAAGAGTTCGAGTGCAAAGCAGACTCCAGCTTCAGCAGTGTGCAGCTGGATGACTTCCTGAGCAAAAGGAAGCCAAGTTCTGCTGACTCAATAACTTACCTGTTGGTGGTAAGGCTTCCTGTGCTTTGAGTACACTGTTTTCTTTAAGTGAGTTCTTCCCATTATCATCCCCTGCCTTTGCTCGGTTTTCTTCCACAGACTCAGGGGGCAAAGCTGCAGTTCTGCTGTCTGGGCTCATTTCTGCCTCCCCTGCCAGCCCTTCCCTCTGCACAGGCGAGCTTTTCCTTGGTGACTTCAACTTCATCTTCTTTGTTTGTTTAAGACTGAGTTGAGGTGGGGGCATTGTGGGACTTGAGGACTGTGCTGTGGCTTCTTCTGTGGCTGGGGCACTGCTGAGGTCCCCAGACTCAGGAACAGGTTGTTGGGGTAATTCAGGGGCATTGTCACCAGACAGTGCAGGAATAGCAGCAGCACCATCTTCTTTTACATCCCCAGAACAATTTTTTGGTGCATCCTCCCCTTTTTTCCCCATTTCTGGAACAGGGACTTCTCTAGACAAGGCAGAGGAGTCTGCCAGTCCATCCTCCACATCCTGGGAAGGTTGTGCCTTACACAGCCCATCCAGACCCTCTGGTTTATCTAGTTCCACCAAGTCAGCAGTTTTACCCAAGTCATCTGAGACATTAGGTTTCTCCAGCATATCCAAGACACCAGGTTTATCTAGAAGGCAGTCATTTGATTTATTTAGTTCAGACAGGCTGTCTGCTTTCACTACAAGGTCCAAGTCCTCATCTGCAGTCATCTGCTTGGATTGATCCCAGCCAGGGGGCTGAAGAACTGAAACTTCCTGGGTAGAAGCTGTTTGGGAGCCCAGGAGATCTTCACCAAACTCCATGTCAGCAGGGAGATCACCAATGAGCGGTTTGTCAGGCAAGGACAGAGGGTCCAAAGATCCTGAAAATTCACTGGAATCCATTTAGAAGATGGCAACTGGAAATGAGACAGAGACTTGCAAGTTAATGAAAAGCAGTCTAACATACAACATGAACTGTCCACTCTTCTGAACACTGCTGGAGCAAAACACAGCCCAGGAATGCTGCCAGGCCGTAAGCAGGATACCAGACACCAGTAGGTCAACCACCTCTGCTTGTGAGGGTACAAAAATCAGCAGCAGGATGCAGTAGTTTGGTRTAACAGACCTTTGAGAACTCTATAGCCTTCACACATCTCACCACAGCACAGCAAACAGACATTTGCTTAGGCTAAATGACATGGTGGGGTATCAGAAATTGCTCAAGCACCAATTCAGGAGGCTCCACACTGATGTTCTGCAGTAATACCCCCAGACCTGCCTTCTTCTCTATCCAAATAATCTGGTCTGTCCTTTCTCCTGATCTGTTCTTATGTAGCTAACACATTTTTTATTTTTAAAATATCTTCTTTTCTCTTAAACACAGAGGTAGAAACAACCCCTTTCAAGCCCTGAATTCTGAGTTTTAACAAGATACAGGATGACAAGATGCATTAATCTTGTCAGAGGACAGATACAAACAATGTTATAGTATAACTGCAGCTGCTGCATAGCCCCAAAACTATGTGGGCTAATACTCAGACACAGAACAATTGGAAAAGCTTAAGGTAGAACTAGGAGGAGTTCTGGAGAGTGGCAAGAAAAAGGGTGGTAAAGCTCTGACGTTCAAAGCAGTCACAAGAAGAGCAAGTAGCAAGGTAGACGCAAGCATGGAATGCAGAGTCAGGAAAAAAAGACCAGTGTGACTTTGCAGGGCACMAACTGCACTTGAACAGGAAGGAGTGATGCAGACTGCCAGCCTCAGAGGGAAACTTACAGCCCAGCTCCTCATGGCTGACATTATCATAAGACAGAAAGGTCAAGCCTTCGAGATGAGGTGAGTAATATTTCTAAAACTATATTATACCCCCACGAGGAAATAATGGCTGACAAACCCGAAGAGGGAAAGGGAGCAGGAACTGGAGCCTAGAAGTGGTAAGGTCGTGTAAGACTTGAAGTAACATCATGTCCCCTGACAGGCTCTAAGCAGACTCTACAAGAAAGGCACTAGAACCAAATGATGTGGCAACAACCTATACTCCCCATCAGAGTAATTCCAATCCTAAATTTAGCACTGTTTTAAGCCCTGGACCACAAGACTTAGTACTCTTGTCTATTTGGGCTTACAGTGGGCATAACTCATCTATATCACTGAAGGTGGAAGCCTGAAATAATTTCACTGATGATAGCTGCCTAATTACTTTTCTACATCCTTCCCTCTGAAAGGAAAACCAAGTTCTCACTCACAAACGGTTTGCTCAGAACTAAACAAAACATATTTGGATGGAGAATGGACCCAACTTCGGAAACTTATTCAAGTGGGAATTTAAGGAAATCATACCCAACAACTGGATTTCAAAGCCACCACCTCCTTATTTTATCTAAATACACAGTAATGTTTTCTGTTTCCTGGTGGCAGATAAAGCTCTGCTCCCACAATCACAGACAGAAACTAAAGCAAATGTAATCTTTAGAAATGCTCAGCAAGTTTCACCCCTAAAGACACCCTAAAGGTGTTTCTGTTCACTTTTAGTTACAAGATGAGGAAAAACTTTCAGAGCAAGCCAATTCTAGAGCAATAAAGGATCTAATACATGTTTTAGAGCGGCTGACAGAAATAAGAACAAAGTGAAATAGAAACAAAGAAATCTGAAAGAAAGGTCCTAAGGATTTGAAGCAGATGAGAACCCTCCCAAGATGATAAACAGGTTGTTTTTCAGCTGCTCAGAATACAAACAATATCTCCTGCTCAAAGATATTCCCAGCCCAGATTCACAGACAGACAGCAGACCCTACAATAATAAGAAAAAAACCTCAAGCCATCCAGATGGAGAAGGAAAGTTAATTTATAGGTATATTTAACAGAGTTAGCATACTCCTCAGAATCACCTCAGACACGTTGCACAAGTGTGCAATGAACCACTAAGGTGATACTCCTCAAGTATTTGCCACTTCCAACTGGCCTTGTCTTTATTTAGTAGAAATAGATCCCAGAAACATCTGGAGCACAAGAAATCCATTTGGGCATTCCCTCACAGAGGATAATGCAAGCAACAATCTATGAACTTTTCATGCAACTCTATATGCGTCTCTTTTCATGTGCTCTACAAGTGGACCAAAGGCATCTGGTTTACAATGTACACCGTAACACTGTTTTCAAACTTTGGGCGTTACAATGCAGGACAAAACTCCAACAAACTTAATRGCAACATCATTGACAAACAGAAAAATCTTAAAGAGAATAAGTATTCTGCAGATTAAGACAACTCCAAACTATTGGGATGTGGCTGGGACAGACCTTTCCGCAGAGGCAAGGCTGCAGTAAGAGAACTCACTTGCACGCTCTGGTCAGAAGCGCAGCACTGGCCCTGTGTGCTCGTGGTCCAGTCCCCTCTCATCAGCTCTGTCTGAATCCTTCCAGCAGAACAGCTCACACCTTCTGGAGAAGGAACCAAAACTTCTTCTTAGGATSTGCAAAGCTAAGGACTACTGCAGTCAGCCCAATGAAAGGACCATGTACTCGAATATCCTGTTCCTATTCACACCAAGAATGGATACCTGGGCAGAGAGTGTAAGAAGGACAACGAACAGGATGTTCCCTTTCAGTACATCCTCCAACCAAGGACTCAGTTGCCRAAGAATCACTTGGCTTGACAATGTCTGTACTGAGCAAATCCTCTGTGAATCTGCCTAATCCCATTTTGAATCAATTTATATTTTGGACCTCCAAAAATTCCAGTGATTTTAAGTTCTGCAGCTTAATATTTAGTTTTTAAAAGTATTTTCCTTTTGTTTATTTTCAGCCTGCTGCAGCAGAGCTCCAAGGTGGTAGAGGGCAGATGAATGGCAACTCTTGATGTATTTAAAATAATCTGGAAAAGCTGATGGAGTTAAGAGCTGAGGCTGAACCCAAGGTGATGCTGACAAACAGCCTGARTGGGAAAGCACGGAATGTCCCTGACAATGAATTCTTTATAGTGGCTTTCAACTACCAGCTGATAAGGATGAGGAAGGTGGCTCTCAAAACAGGAAAGAACGGTATTTTCCAGTTCTGTGGGTTGTTCTGAAATCAAACTCAACCTGAAGAAATTAGAGCTGCTCAGCTGCAGCAAGGTAAGAAGCCCTACTTCTGCCTGCCCCAGGCAGTCAGGTTTGCCTGGGCCTTCTGCTGAGCTTCACAGCGAGTTAAGCTGCAAACAGAGCGTGCACTTGAGCTGTGGTAAAGGCTCTTCTCACTTTCTACAACAGAAAGAGAATAGCTTATTGTTTCTGCCAGATGCTGAAATGATCCACCACAAGTCAMTGCCTCTCTTACTCCAGGACCAGCTAATGCATAGCTCATGGGGTCTAATCACTGGTCTGCTCGAGGTTTTCCTCTTTTCCAGCCACATTGCTGGCAGTGAGGAGAGTACACTGCAATATGACTGGGCCAAACCAAGAGGAGGCCGTGTGTTGAAATCCTGCACTTTACAACAGATACAACTGCTCCACTGGCCATTTGGGAGCTCCTTACTTAGGAGTAAGTACTGCCTGGAGTACTCAGTAACAGATATAGTCTTGGGAAGAATGAGTTCAAGTAGCAAAGTCTCTCACACAATAGTCTGCAGCAGAATAGAAGAATTCTGCTGCTCAGGTAGAAAACACTCAAACAAGAGTTTCCAAAGAAGTGATGGGACAGCTGAGGGTCCTTCCCAAGTGTGCAGGACTGGCACAGAACACAACATTGACTGCCAAACCCAGTCCCTGTGACTACCAGACCTGTCCAGCCCTTTCTGCCAAAGACTGGGCACATGGGATCTTCTCTCAGATTTGGAAGATCCAAGTGCAACATCTCTGCCAGGATKCTTTAGCACATCCAAGTGACTACCTGGGACTTTATCCAGCTTATTAAAGATACCAGTGGTGCTGTAACTCAGGTAACCATTAGCAGGGGAATAGATGGCCTACCTACAGAAATGAGGATCTACCATCAAACATTTAATTAAAAACAGACAGCAAGATAAAATGCTGTTGCTGCTCCCTCCCAATGAAGTGAATATCTCAGAAGTCCTTATTGCCCATAAAAATTCCCACAGACATGCAGTCAGTTGCTGCTTTCCTCAAGCAAAGGAACAGTTACTGCTTGGGTATCTGTCCTGGACTTTTGTTCATGGATGTGGATCCAGATTTTCAATACTTTTGAAGACTGAAGGATTTATCTTTTTCATTATTAGAGATCACTTGAAATATGAAAATAATTAACTAGTAACTACAAAAGACACTTAAGTCAACATTTCAGYCACTTCAATTCTACAAGGTCTGTAAGACCCAAGCAGAGCTCTGGAAGAAGGTTCTATTTTTTGGTGCCAAATTTTTGAATAAATGGTAATACCCAACCTAGTACTTCTCAACAAAAACAACAGTGTCAATACACAGTTGAATCAAYAAAACACTAAGAAAGTAATATCATGTCCTACCAGCATGGTTTCAGTCAACATATCTTCATTAACAATATACCTTGAGTGGCGAGTACAGCAAAAGCCAGCTTCACTACCGTGACTTATCTGAGTTTATTCGTACAGCTGATAGCTTTCTAAGTTCAACCACTGCAAACCTTCATTACATACTGGCTAACTCATTTCAAATCAAATTAATTTACAAAGAATCACCAGTTAATTGAGCACACTAATGTGGCCCAGGTTTCAGCCCAGTCAAAATTCTCCAGAAATGAGCAGAAAGGATTTTGTTACTCACTAGTTTTTGGAGAGGCAGCTCTCTGAGCTGCAAACTCAAGTCTTCAAAGAGCACAAAGCCCACTTGGTGACATTCAGTACAGCCCTACTTGCACACATTACCCTGTCAGAGCATTACTGTCTCATTGTTGGCTACTGTTTTAGCCTGATGATAGTTATTGGAAAAGCTGTTTCAAATAAAAAACAAATAAATATCTGACAAAGTAATGCAAGAATCCCAGTGCTTTGTGAATCAACCATGGTTTGGAAAAAAGCCKTCCAGTGCTAAACCTGTTTTGTTCACTGAGGAGAGATGGGGAGACATGACCTATCTCAAAAAAATCACAAGGTTAGAAGATCTACAGCAGACAACTCCTTAGAGAATCACACAAATGCACATGAGGATTCGAACAGCTGGAAATCAAAGTTGGACAAGCTCATACACACATTATTAAACTGACCACAGGATCTGTAAGCCCTCTGTGACTTGGAGGTTTTACACGCAGTGAGTCGCTCCAAATCAGCTACAGCTCCTGCAGATGTCACCCATCAAGTCCTTCTGCTTCGCAGGCAGGGTTTGGTGAACAGTTTCGAACCTCCAAATGTACCACTGGCTCTCCAYCGGTGCAAACTGCAGCAGCTTTCACCAAGTCCCCTTCAGCCAGTCTTCACATGTGACTGGGACTGTCTACACAACAGGAACTGGTATATGGGGGAAAAAAGGGCCTTTCCAGAAAATCACCAGCAGCATCAAGACTCCAGCAATTGTTTTCTTATAGACCCAAAGACAGGAGAAGATGACCATCRCATTTTCCTACAGTGGGAGCCCCAGCTCAGAGCTGCAGAACTCAAATGGAGTATCACAGTCACMCTGAGCCCAGACAGCCCAAATCCTCCAGCACTGAGCAGATGGTGCTGCAAAACACAGCCTTSAGTCTCCTGTAAATTCCTCAAAGGCAGGAATGACCAAACTGGATTTTGTGCTTGCATTCCAGAAACTTCACTGCAGTTTCAAGACAGTGCAAGAAGAACAAATTTCAGAATCTCACAGAATTGCCTGGAATTAGATTTATCAGGAGACTCCCCACAAAGCCTGAAATATACTGATAACATTCTTCAATCTCAGCACTATGTGCTGCTAACCATAGCAGTAAATTCTAAGACAACCAACAGGAGAATCCTCAACCATCCAGAATGCCATCCTGGCTGCAGTTTGAAACAGCTTGGATCCCCTCACATTTTGTAAGATCAGGATTMCCTCCCAGCACTAAGTGTCAAGGCTTTAAAAGAGAGAGGAGTACAAGTCCAAGTCAACTCTTAGTAGCAATACGATCTGGAGAAAAATTCAGCTTCAAGAACCAACTCCATTTAGTGATCMAGTCCAAGAGAAAATTCTCCTGGTGTTTATACAGCCAAAATAGTGTTAAACACAGGGGAAGGGGGTGAGTGGGTAAAAAAGCTTTGGATGTACTGTCAGAAGCACAACAAAAAAAAGCTTGAAGGTTTACAGCATGCTTGAAATTGCTTTAATGATACTAAGTATTAACACAACGATTAAAAAATAGAAGACCTGGAAGTGGTAAAAACCAGATGGTCCTCAGGTCTCTCTACCTGTTGCCCAAATGTTGCAGGAAGGCATCAGAACACCTGACAAAGTCCTGGCAAGTCCCAGAAGCAGCTMCAGACAGCTGCAGAGGACAGCTGCATGGACAGCAGGTGACTCCCCAGAGGAGTGCTGCAGCCTGGGAACAGGCCATSGACTCCCTGGACATCCTCAAAACCCARCTGGACAAAGCCCTGARMAACTTGGCTTCATMGCTCTGCTATGAGCARGAGGTCAGTTGGACCAGAGACCCTAGAGGTCCCTTACAACCCAAATCTGTCCGTGGTTCTGTGAATAAACCTTACTGCACAGSAAAGAGAAAAAAGACAAAAGGGCAGAGTCTCGGAGAGGATGTATCTTTGAGGGCAAAACATCTGATGTTTCTTAAGAGGCCTTGCAGAGCAGAAATATTGGGAACACAACATGAGCTGTCTCCTCTGCCTCACTGACAGTCCCAGATCCCTCTGCAAGGTGCCACCAAGGCCCTGGAAAGGGATCTGAGCTTTAGGAGGCTTCACCTCACTTGCAGCTGTAAAAACTGGCCCTGGTTAATGCTGTGTTGAACAAAGCAAGGTTTCACCCCATCTAGAGAACAACACCTTTCTGTTTGGGCTGTCCAGGGCTGGCCCAGCAGCACAGGCTCACAGCAAGTGGCCAGGAGACACCACCAGAGCTCATGGCCAGCAGGACTGGTGAGGATGGTCTCAAACCTTTCCTATTGTGTGCCATCAGCAGAGGAAGAAGTTAATGAAGCACTCTGCTGAAATTAAAATATAAATCCAGTGAAATCCTGCTAGCACAGCCTTTGCTAAGCTGACAAATGCATTGTCACAGCTGTAGCCTATTCCATACTTCCCTTGCATTGCTTTCACCATAACCCTTCTGCACCAAGGCTTCTGCCAGGTTCTGTGGTCAGTCAGCATCACTGACCACAACACATCCAYAAAGAAATCACACAAGGGGTTTTGCTCCCATACTGAGGCTGTGGGCTCAGCCTTGGGCCTTTGCTCTGGCTGTCAGACATGTGGAAGAATCTGGAGTTTCCACTGTCATCCTCCAAAGCAAGGGCACTCACTGTGAGAGGGATGTGAGCAGGTGCAGAGAGAAAGGAGGTTGTGCAAATATGCACTATGGAGCTGTGAGGTTCAGGTTAGTCATTACAGATCCAGAGGGTGTGGATATTCCTTTAATAAGGCTGAGCTCACARTAACAACAGGGCTATGCTCTTATCACCAGCTTTGATCCCAGGATAGGCAGGGTTAGGTGAGAAAATGCARATTAAAAGTTTTCTTGGGGATTGCAGCTGCAATGAAAAGGAAAGAAGTTACAGCCTAGAGCAAAAGCCATACCTGGAAGCACAGCAGGAGAAGAGAGCATAAATGAAACAGCTCTCATCCTCATCAAAAGAGACTCCAGGAACCATTTCTCAGCACTGTTGAAAATCCTATCCCCCACCATCACCTGACACAGAACATGTCCAGCGCTACCTCTGCCCACACAAGCATATCTGACTGCCAGGGCCTTTTCCTGTGCCAGGCACACACCACAGCCAGGTCCCAGGCCTGCCTCCACCTCTACAAATCACGGAGGTGCTYRATGYTCCCCAAGGCACCCTGTTGGCCACWGCTATGCTCCCCACATGGGGAGGCTTCAGCAGACTAAGACCTTCCCCAGCAGCCCCAGCCCCATGGGGCTGCACCTTTCCCTCATGGTTGCAGATCCTCGAGAGCAGCACATGCTGTCCAGGGACACACACATCCACCAGGCCTTGAGGAGGCTCTAGGTGCGCCAGACAGCAGGAAGGCTGTTGGAAGGGTTGGCGATTTCACAGAGCAGCAGCTGCTGAGCCCCACAGACTTAGCTCCGGTGATCAGTGACACCACAAAGGCTGAGCCCCCGGGGACACCGGGAGAGGGCAGAGGGTGCCAGGGGCTGTTTGCTGCCACTGCTGGCACAGCCCCGCAGCAAGGACAGGCCCCACTGAGCTGGGTACTCCAGGGACTCCCAGGAGCCACTGGGACCAACCTGGGCCCAGGCACTGACATGGCTGGGGGGCACAGCCAGACCCCACCCCTCGGGGAGCCACCCCCACACCAGCACCGGGGCAGGGATGGGGGTCAGGCTGGGGCTCCCCAACCATGGCAGAGGACCCCCGCAACGGGGAGAGGGTCTCACTGGGGTGTCCATGGGAGTGGGGTGGTGATGGGGGGTCAGCCTGGTGGGTGCCCTGGCCATAGTGGGGGGATCCAGAGCCAAACCCCCTCCCATTAAAGGGGCGAGGGTCGCACGCCCCCCCCGTCCCCCCCACTGCAGATGGGGGCTCCTCATCCATCCTGGGTGAATCCAGAGACCACCTTCTTTGCCAGACCAAGGAGGGCACGAGGTACTCCACGGAACCGGGGCGGGGATGGGGACCAGGCAGGTAGGAWCCCCAGCCACACCAGGGGGGAAATCCAGACACAACCGCCCTCCCCCGCACCGGAGCGAAAGCCGCACTGGGATCTCCAATGGACCAGAGCTGCACTGGGGTTGGGGTCAGGCTGGGGCTCCCCATCCATCCCAGGGGGATCCGTATCCCAGAGCCCCCCCAAAGGGGCGAGGGTCGCACAGGGCTCCCCCTCCCTCCGCCCCTCCGGGACCCGCCGCAGGGCGCCCCCAAGCGGCCGCCACGGGGAGGGGGCGAGGGTCGCCGGCCACGCCCCCCTCGTGGGGTGCTGGCCACGCCCCTTCCCGCAGGGCGCGCGCCCCTCTCTCCGGGGGGGCTCACCCACCCCCCCCACCCCCCCGGTACCCGCGCCCCACGCGCCTGCCCCGCCCCCTCCTCGCGGGGCCCCACGACCGCCCCGTGGCCCCATCCGCGCCTCCCGGGACGTCGCCGGGGCGCGCCCGCGCCCACCGCCGCTCGTACCTGGCTCCCCCGGTGCTGCACCGCCCGCTCTACCCAGAACCCGGATTCGGGTCGCGGCCCCTTTAAATGGAGGCGCCGCTCGGAGCCCT